TCATCTATAATCTGTACGATCGTCCTGTCCATGATTAATAGCCGCAGATCTATGGTAGGCTTGAATAGCTCGGGGTGCAATAGCATCTAATTATGAGCTGCCCGTGCTCCTTTCTATGCTAAAACGTCCTATAATCGTCTCGTGAGCGCGTCTGGCTTCTCGCCTTACTTACCAGGGCGATAGGTGATCGTGAATTAAAATCGCAATAAGTACTCTAACTAGTGAGCTTGTCTATGGCTTAGCTACTTGGTCGTTGCAAAGTACTGTAGGTTCTTATGATTACTAAGCACCTCAATGGGAAAGGTAGCGCCTTCTAGTTTAGGCCTCTATTATTCGAAATAGCGCATAATCGCTAGTAGCTCCTTATTGTATATCTCGTAGTTGCCTTTAGCGGGGTTTATTCTCCTAGAGTAGTAGGCGACTGGTCGTAGCTCTCTATCCTTGTCTTTCTGGGATAGTACTCCAGCCGTTACGTAGTTAGAGGCGTTAGCCTCTACCACAATGGGTAGCTCTGGGTTAAAGTGGCGGAGCATAGGAGCGCTTATAAAGGTAGCCTTTAGCTAATTAAATGTATCTTAATAGGCGCTACTAAAGTGGAATACTCGATCCTTCTTCGTGAGGTTCACTAGTGGTGAAGCTAATCTTAAGAAATCCGGTATAAATTGACGATAGAAGTTTGCAAAGCCTAGGAAGGCTCTCATATCCTTCACATTCCTTGGATATTCCTAGTCTTATATCGCCTCCACCTTCTTAGGATCTACCTAAATACCCTTCGTGGTAATCACGTAACCAAGGTATATGACTTAAGTTTGATGGAACTTACACTTATTGATATTAAGTTATAAGCCTACTTCTTCTATAGCCCCTAGCACTAGGTGTACGTGCTATTGGTACTCTAATAGTGATTCACTATATATTAGGATGTCGTTAATATACGCCGTGTAGAAGACATCTAGGTATGGTTGTAGTGTATTATTTATATAGTATTGGAATGTACTTGGGGTATTGGCCAGTCCAAAGGGCATTACTAGGTATTCAAATAGCCCATACCTCGTACGGAAGGCTGTTAGCCATTCATCCCCCTTTGCTACCTATAGCTTATTAAACGTGGTGATAATGTTAAGCTTTATGTAGTACTTAGCCTTGCTTAGGCGGCTTAGTGTTTCTTAAAGTAGAGGAATAGGGTATTAGTTCTTAATAGTTAGTATGTTTAACGCTCTATAGTCCACATAGAATTATAGTCCTCCACCTGGCTTCTTTACAAAGATAACTGGCGAAGCTATAGGGGACTTGCTAGCACGTATGAAGCCCTTAGTAAGGTAATTAGTAAGGTACTTCCTTAGTACTTTTAGTTTATCTTAAGACATGCTGTATAATGGTCCAAATCCAGGCTACTTACCACCCTAAAGCTCGATCTTCAGATCGTATGGTTAATGCTTAGGCAGTCTATCTACTTCCTTCCACGAGAACATATGTAGTAGATCGTGATACTTAGGCGGCACCTTAGTAGCTAGGTTGATATCCTTCTTCTCCGCTAGCGCCTTATTGATGTCTACTATTGATATAGCATAGATCTTATGTCCCGGTTTTCTTGCTAGACTTATTAGGGGCGCTACTCATATCGCATATATATTAAGCTGCGGGGCGATAGTATAAGGTGTATTATTATCTAACGCATCATCCTGCGGTGATTCCTCTAGACTATTAATTGTAGGAGCTTTATTAAGGCTGCCAATAGGTGTTAGGTCCTACTCTTATAACTGGCGGTGTAGTAATTTATGCCAGTTATTATGTCGCGCTCTCTGTGTTAAAGTGAGCTTCTGGATCTAGAGTGATGGTGTTCTCCACGCTTTACTAACGCCGGTCATGTCATCACTCTTCGTGATAGAGGAGCTCTCTAATCTAATATAAGAGTTGCTATCTGTGCGTATGCAGTAGTCTTGACAGCACTGGGCTATAAATTCTAGCTATTCTATTATAATTCGGCCTTACTTAATACTTATACATCCAGGGCTGTCTAAGAATTATCTAGTGCTGGCTAGTAGTCGTTACGTAGAGCTTAATCTACTCTATGTAGTTCTAGTGAAGGAGACATACACTGGCTATATGCGTGATCTATCCATTCTTAAGTTATTATCCATTAAATCCGGTGGGCTGTATAACGTAGGGTAGTGGCTATAGATGTAGTTTTAAGTTGCGCGCGAGGTCTTAATGGATAAAACCATATCCTATAGCTCTAGTGTCGACTAAGGTAGTTACTGATTATTTGGCGCTGCCTTGCTAGATCGTATAGGGAATGTTAATCTATATTTCCCAAGTTCCACCTAATGGATAAGTCCATAGATCTATCGAGACTTGTATCTGGCGCAGTCCCATTAAGTGACTTATCTCTAGGACTGGGCTTTTCCCTATAATGATCGTCGTTGTCGCGAGCGCGATTGAGATGAGGAGCGAGAGCTCATATCTAATGATATGTCTAATCTAGGTGACGGCGCGCGTCGACTTAGAGAGCCCCATTAATCCATAGTCTATATCTATGTCTTCTTAGGGCACTCCCTAGCTATATGTCCATGGGCGCTGCATGTGAAGTAGAGTTCTTTCCATTAGTATTAATCCTTCTTCTACTCTAATAGAGTCGCGTGCGATAATGTATCAATCTCTATTATGTCTGGGTTGAGCTACTGTCTTGGAGTCGTGACCTTGTAGGTATAGTTCGATTGGTGGGTTAGGCGGGTAGGCAGGTATCAGAGGTCGTTATCATATTGGGTGATTAGGTTGGCGTATTCGTTGATGTTAGACGGGATTTTGGCTCCTACCATTACGCGTTAGAGGTCATTAGATAGTAAGTGGCGTAAGGCATTAATCTACGCTTCCTCATTCAGATTGGTATCTGCTACAAGGCGTCGAAATTTAGTAAAGTGGCTAAGGAAAGGGCGCTTTCCTTGTTTAAGGTTATCCAGCTTACTCTAGGTAGATAGTATTCTGTTTGGATCGTCGTACGTAGCGCAGAGGAAGGTGATTAGCTTCTCTATAGTAGCTATGTCAGATCCTATCAGCGGATCTACAAGTGTTGTAGGGTTATAGTTAAGTCGCGAATGCGCGTATATTAACTTGGCGCGTTTAGTTGGGTATTAGTTAGCGTTGCCCTCCAGCTTCATGCGCAATCGAGAAATGAATAGAGGTAGGTCCTTCCTCTTACTGGTAAACATGGGTGGGTTAGGTAGTTGGTCGCTTAGGTGCACCGTCTTTACAGTCATTAAGCCATCGCCAGATGGCGTCATAGAGGGCTCTAACGACTCCTCAGCTGGGGTCAACGTAGGGGAATTAGTAAAGTGAATAGACTTCTTGGGCGTGGTAAGCTCCTTGCGTAGAGCCTCCATGTCAGCTTGATGCTAATCCTGCATCTATTGGAGAGACTGCTGGAAGGCTTCCTATTGAGCCTGTTGAGCTTACTAAAAGGTCTCCTACAGCATCTTAATCTGTTCCATTATCGCCTACATTATTAGGGTCGGGTCTGCTGAACTAGTCATATTGGTTGGTTGGTGTGATCCAACGTAATGTCATGAGAGCAATAAGCAAGATGTCTAAGGCCCAGGTAGGCTAGATTAATATACTGCGTTTGGTATCTACGTATAGGTACAAGACGTTGGATAAGGAGAAAAGGTCCTCTCCCCTATCCAGCGTAGATCTATCTTCTCACTTCGTCGTACGCCCTCGCCAAGGGTGGCTAGTGCCATGCTTTGACCAATCAGCTAGCAGACGGGCCACCCATCTAATAATCTATTAACTGGCTACCAGCGCGCGATATCTCTAAGATATACTACTACCAGTAGTATATCCATGCTTATCAGGTAGCCTCTAAGGTTACCGTGACAGTAGTATAGTCCTATATAACCTAGATATAGTACTCTTAAAGTTTAATATATAACTATATATGCCTATACTAGCTCTACTAGAGGCTACTATATAGGAAGCTAAAATACTAAATAATATATATAAGCTAGAGGCATAATTAATCTTAATTTATAATTAAGTTTAAAGTTATAAGAGCTTATTACCTACTTCTATAATAATAATACTTAATTAGCTTAAGATGGGAGCTGAAGTAATAGCCTACTTAGCTACCTTATAAGAAAGCTAAATTACCAACCTTAAGAGAGCTAATAAAGTAGCTATAAAGCGTAAATAGCGCAAAAGAAAGTGGATCTAGAAGCAAGGGACCTTAAATTAAGTAGATGGAGAGGAATTGATCGCTCAAAGACGCGTTAATAAGCAGCTAGGAGAGGAGATGCATGAGAGCAATGCGCGCGCGCGAGTGGGCAGAGCAGAAGGCGCTGCTGACGCTGCGGCGAGGCTGGCCATAGCTCTCGTACATGCTAGAAAGATGCGCAAGATACAATATAATATAGGAGCTATCTATATATTGTAGTACGTACGCGCGGTGTGGAGTACTCTAAGTTGCAAGTTGTCTGAAGTAGGTTGAGGTAGCGCGCTCGCTTATATAGCGCGCTCGCATATGAAGTACGTTAAATACTAACTAGTTATTCTATCCTTCACTATCTTCCACTTCCTTGTTGAGGTCCCGCCAAATCCTTGAGGTCCCTAGGGATCTTGCTTTAGGCCGGACATCATCACGTGACCCTGAGATCCCATGAGTCCTCGCCTCTGCCGGGCCTCATTACGTGATATCAGTGTTTGCTCATTCCGAGCAGCGTCGTTACTGCTGACCTCTTGTTCTCTATCGTCAGCCAAATGTAACGTGGCGCCATCTCCCGCCGATTCCCTGTCGTGCTTCCTTGTGATCGTAACAGATCCCTCTCCTACCCTTGGTTGTCTTGCCCGAGAACCAACCCTAACCCTTTAGGACTAGCTACCCTTCTGGGTTCAACACGTCCTAGAGTCCTATGAGTCCTAGAGTCCTATGCGGGATCCTCGCCCATACGGGCCTGGGATCGGTGGGACTCGTGATATGTCACGTAATCTAGGTTAATGATCTAGTAGGAGTCGGTGGTTTAAGAGTATAAGAAGCCCATAACCCCGCGCCACGCGCGTGGGTTCTAATATCATTGAATACCTGCGCAAGGTCCGAACCTAGTCTAGGTAAGTAGAAACCCCTTATAGTATAAATCACCTTAATTATACATAACAGAATAGCTGTACCGCCGCATGATCATCCATTGTCGTTAGGCATACCCAGGAATAATCATTTTTATCGGTAATCAGACCAGCTCCAACTTTTTCTCGCTCACATCCACCAAGGCTATTAACGTATTTGCTGGTAATTTCCGCGACGTCCATGTGTGTACCTGGGTTTAGCGCCGCTTGACATTGCACCGTGCCTGCAGGAAATCTGCTGTTTCCTGCAATTGGCACCAACAAAGGCTTCGGTTTGTCCTTGAAGTCGTACCAATTCAAGGTTGACAGATGCGTCCTGAGGGCACTTGATGGATTGTCGCAGACATGGATATGGATTTGCTCCTCGTCTCTCGAAAGGACCGAGTTGACGGACAGCGTCCCCCATTGCCTTGAGGCCACTGTGCCAGCGCCTAGGAGCGACTGTCCGAATTCCCAACCTCCATTGTCAGAACCCAATTGCAAGATCCCCGGTACCTTTTTGGAGGTCGTAATCAGCTTATGATCGTTAAGTAACCACCAATCTCCGCTTTGAATGCAATTTAGGCTGCTCTTTTTCATGCAGAGGCACAGGCTGTGGAAGTAGAGGTAACAGGCGTCGCATTCGATGTTGCCTTGCACGCATCCTTCGAAGCATTCCACGAGCTCGCCAGTAGTATCCACATGGCAGTAAGGATCGTTACACTTCATGCCCTTACCCCCACAACTTGGGGTAAGGGACGTGCGAGTTGGACAGTCGCAATTTGCTACTGAGTTGCCGACAATATCAGCAGTACCACAGGTCCCTACCCCGCCGATGTTCCAAGGCAATGATAATAGTACGGAGAGGAATGCGAAAGGTCCCATGGTAATCATAATATGAGAAGCAGGTTGAATGTTGGAGTGTCAAGGTGCAAACGCAGTCAGATTCTGAGATATTGGAGGTATTTACCTGAGGATGACGAAAAACCAGGTGGTTTATATACACTCAGTACATCCGTGTTGATCCGGTCGGCCATTCCAGATCGTGCTGACTGCGCAGTGTTACTTGGTACACGAAGCAAGTTCTCGGGTACGGATTCAGGGTCCACAGTCAGACCACTTGCATTTCGTTTGTTGGAGGCGCATTTTATTGCATGTGGTATACCCTTGGCATATGCTATTGGCGAGCTGCGAAATTCAGTTTCTAAATGGGAAGGACTTTCTGTATTAGGCCTTGTCGTATATGGACTTTGCGCGGTTATGAAGGCATTGGCAGGCAAAGGCATGCTTCGCGGCATGATATGACTGACCCGAACCAATTTTGCTCAGAACCATAACTCCTTTTCGAAACAGTACATTGTCGTGACCTTGCTGGTACGCGTGATGCGGAATGTGGGGTGCAGAAAACTGGGCGAGATAAAGCTCGAACGCTTGTCATCACCGTCCAAGACAACGGTCCATCGCACATCTCATTAACAGCGCCGCTTTCAGCGCGAAGAGAAGATTAATCCAGAATGCTGAAGTTATATTGAATTTTTGGGATGTTTCCGATACCGCGTTCGTGCCGTACGTTCAGCTTGCCCTAGCTCGATGTCCACCCTTTCAACATTGTCGCGCAGATAGCCTTGGTTGGTATCATTCAAGACGCAATTCCACATTTAACGTTCATACGATTGACATAGTGGACCCGGACACGATGCACGACTATTCTTCCTCGACTTTTCTTCCCTTGCCAAAGAATGCCTGACCGCAGTTGGCAGAAAGACTTGTCGACTCGATTTTGTGGTCCCGAATTCGGGGTATTCCGGTAACGTCCATCTAAAGGTCACAGATGGCGATACAGCAGAAGATGGACAGAGGGCATAAGCCTTTGGTGTCACCCCGCTGGACATCTACCACGTGGCCCATTACTTCATCCCAATGCTGCTCAACTCACCATCTGGCAGTGCGAAAGTCTTTGCGGTAGTGGGAGCATTGCGGCGTGTCTACGCCATGGTATTTTTGCGACCTCCAAATATTGCATTAGCAAGATGGTTCAGTCGCTAAGCATCGAGCAAGTGACAGAGCAATTTAGTGGCGACGGCATTCTCGGGCCACAGTTCATCCAGGCGTCGCGGATTCTGAGATGGCGCGAGATACGGCACTAAAAGAATTCTTGAAGTGGGAGGCTTCCTTGCCTCATTAATGCGTATCCTGAATTGAGAACAGCAATAGTATCAATTATATATCATAGACAAAGCTGATTGTTCCCCACGAATCTGATCGACGATCCTCAGCTAGGTGGGGTTTTCCTGGTATGGCTTACACGGCAATCGAACGAGGACCTGTAGCTAAATTTCAGACTAATGAGAGCGAATTGGGACCCTGACGACTTACTGAGTAAGAGGGACGATGTTGTTGAAGGCTATTTACCCAATTTTAAGGCTAAAGTCACAATACAACGTACCCTCAGGTTAATCGAAGTGCTGGCGATAGATTACCGATCATCTACGTGATAGTAATGATTAAACGTAGTGAGGCGGCTTGGCCGGGTTCAAGTACTAGGAATAGGGTTTTTAATTTACATCATCTAATGTACAGGGTAGAAACCTTCAATGCTAGCGGACTGCTGCAAAGTCATATTTATGTGTCAGCTTGATGCCCACGACGATGACGGGGTTCCAAGCATCTACTCACCTTTCAGGAGTATCCACGATTACTCTTCACTTTCGCTTTTCACGCTATGTACTCCGTACCTTTTACGTTGAGACCATTCTACTTCTTAAACATTTCTTGATTTCCCACTGTTTAACCACTGCAGACGATCTTGTTTACCGAAATATCGACCTTCATTTTCTTATTGGAGTTTGCACAATATGCGGAATTATAACGGCTGCATGCGCCGTCATAATTCTGAACAGTTGTCTAATCATTCATTTTCGTACCAGTACTTCTTGTATGCTGTACTCCAGACCTGGTCGAGCTCGAATAATCCCTCTCGCGAGATGCTATGCCAAACTTCGCCACCGTAGAACAGTTCGAAAATGGCAAACGTTATTGCTGTCCATGTCTCCTTTGACGTCTTCTCTTCATGGACATCCGTATTCAGTAAGTGCAAAAATAAATGCATACTACAAGTACTTTCCATCTCCCTTATGCAGCAGTAAAAGTCTTTCACCACTCCACAGTAATGATTGGTCGTCTAGTCGTTGAATCAAAGCTATCTGTACTATCGTAATACGCACGCCAGACATAAATTCTGAGAAGAACACCACGGACTCTGGCGTGATGCAACCCAGGATTTGGTACTCTTGCAAAGACCAGTATCGAGACAGGCGACATAGCGACTAACCAGCTTTTTAATCAATCTCACGTCCGCATAAATCACCTTTTTTAGATGTCCCATCTGTCATACTGTAAGCTGCTACCAAATCTGTCATCCGGCTAGTATTCTTGTGCTTTGAACTCTGCTTGGCTCCTGTCAATATGACCCTTACAGAGCAATTAGAACCATCTTGCAATAGCCTCAATGAGACCAATGTCTGCGAGAAGCACTAAGCTTTCAAGGTCGGCTTCAATGCGGACCTCATTGCTGGTCGGTTGGGCACGGATATCTCCCTGCTCGAGACGCCGCAGAGCACGCTCGACGTTTGCATGCAGAATGATCTCAGCTTCCTCCCTTGAGTCTGCATGCAGCGAAAACCGCTTTCGGTACAAACTGCGAAATCAACGTGAACGATGTTTCAGATCGATTGTTGATGTATTTTACGTAGGTGTTGCGCGCTATGCGATGAGCAAGTTTTCATAGACCCAAACGTGTGGCAAATCGACGAAGCGAAAAGGGTGCTTTGAAAGGCTTTCCACCATCATGCGCCCTTTGGAAATGATCTTGGCGCTCGAGTGGGTGATGCGAAGTCCCTGAAGAATTGTCCAGGTGTATACGAGTCCTTGTTGTCCACAACAAGCCGTGCCTCCTAAAGTTGCCAGGCTTCAAGCCCAGCGCATGATGACGTAGGTTCCATCCTGCGAAGGCGAACCTTGTGAGCTACGAACCCTGCAAGTTCGTCAACCTCACAGCCACCACCACTGACGCCTCAAGCGATGTTGCAAATTTTGAGCTTGCATTCCAATAGATATTTCTGAACAACTTTGTACGGAGGGGATACCTAAGCATGTGTTCTCGAGGCAGCCGCACCCTCCACTCCACTCTTTCCATAGGTCGTCAAGAAAACCATGGCGCAACTAGATCCTTGTTACGGGAAACATATGAATGGCGGCTGGATAAAAGCGTTCTCTTGATATTGCGTCGATGGCGTATGAATGTGCGAACGCAGCTTCTTGAATGTGCGGCTAAGCATGCTTCGATCATGGACACATGCGATGCGATCGCGAATCACTTTCCTAATGCACATGTGCACTGAGTGGCTGGAAGCTCCGTTCAGCAAATTCGTATACTCTGTATTCACTTTCCTGCAGATCTCATCTTGATTGCCAGTGTAGCGCACGATCACGCAATGCTCTGTATCAAGTTCTATGCTACTGTTTAGCCGGGTTCGGAAATAACTGAACAGGCATCCAACATGGGTTTGCATTTAATTAGCGTCAGCCCTATCAGGCTCGCCGAGGCTATTTGCATACCATCCATTGCAAGTACGGAGAAGCTCAAGGCGTAGGCCGGGCCGCGCTCGTTCTGTGTTGGTATTGCTGGGCGTCAGGCCCACACAGAGGGAGGTTCTCAATGAACATTGGCCGATGCCAAGGTCCCTGAGACCTGTAACTGAAAGGATGAGGGCCGTGCGCGGACCTTTTGGAGGTCCGAGCGAAGTCGAATTTGGAGGTGTCGTACGACGCGACCTTGGCATTGTCACGATACGAGAAATAGTGGACCTGAGAATAGGAAGTGGAGTCGGCTCGTTTGTGTACGCCGTACGGCCGCAGGATTTCTGGATGCCTAAAGGCTTGGAGGCGTGTAAGCATGTCCAAACTTCGCGAGTCGGCATATATATATGAGACCTGACAAGAGTGGCCGTCTTCAGGTTGAGATATTTCTCCTTCCAGATCAAGACCGACAAGGTCTATTTCCATCCGTTCTAATAAAGCGCTTTGCTAGACGTGCGTAAAATGCGACTTACTACTATTCTCCACATGGCGTTCGCCTCCCTTGGAGTGGCAGTGGCAGAGCCCGCTATTGCGATTGGAGAAACATCGATTTTATTCACTGTCACGGATCAGGCCCAATACGACCAAGTGACGAAAGACGTACTGCAAGCCATGTCATCCTACCAGGCGTCCATCACAGCCCAACCTGCCTGGAGCTCTGCTTACTCGCAGCTGGTCGAGTTTCAAAAGACGCACAAAGGCGTGCCCGCCGCCCTTACAGATCTGAGCACTGTCGTCCAATATACAGCAACTCCGAGTTGGTGGGTGATCTGGATTGAGCGACTTTTATGAATCAGCGCGCTAACACCTCCGTAGGTACACAGCCATGCCTAGCGATCTACAACAATACCTCAAAAAAGAAGATGAAGCTAGGTTGGAGTTCCTCGAAGACACCGTCGAGGACGCGATGAAGGGCAGCGCGGCGAGACCAATTGACATAGGCGTTTATGTCCACGGCGCAGTAGCTACCTTGATTGCTATTATAGCGATTGCGTTGTAGGCGGCTAAACATAGTGATGTTATTCATGATGTCCAGATTCGACCGGTGGCGTGTGAAATTATCGATACCCTGGTTCAGCATTTTGGTGTAATGTAATACCGGATTTCTTGTGAAATCAGACATTTGCATTAGGGTTAGGGTTGAGAGGAAACAGCACTTGCGGAATTATTCGAGCTGAATAATTAGTGCGCTGTTAGTATGTTGTGTCGGTCATGGGTCCAAATATTTATCCTTTTCGGTCGCTTAGTGATGGCTGATTCGCCAATGGACAACTGAAACCCATGGTGTGTCTCTCTTAGAGTTTTTGGCGTGGTTCCGGAAAAGAGGCGTTTCGAGTCTTACAAATGAAGTGCATATTCCAATCTAGGGGAATTTGGAAGCTGAGGGCAACATAATCGGGCGGCGACGTATGGTGCCCCTGAACAACAGGATTATAATCAAGGAGACGACCCCTGATGGTTTGTGGCAATAATGTCAAAATACTCGCAGCAATTATCTTCCATCACCATCGGCTCCTCAAGTCGTTGAAGTGTGAAGTCCATTCCCTTATCTTGTCGGGCCATCCTAGCGAAGAGATCTGGTAATGGGCACGATTTCTTACGAAGTACCACGAAAATCGCCCTCATCGATCAAATAGTGAGACCCCACAGTACCCATTCACATTACGACCATTACAATAACTATCGCCAGGTCCACGGGCCGCTTCACTACATCGCACAAGATCTTACAATGATCGTTGTGTGATTTGATCTTTCCATCTATCATAAACGACGAGTATCTGTATGTTGCTCGTGTCTATTTGGTTCCCATGAAATCTTGCGCATCGAGAAGAAGCTAAGTGCAGTCCGTGGTCTGGATATGAAACTTGTTCTGCTTGAATATAGTGGACATACCACGCATAACCTCGTCCATAGTATCTCTGTATCGGTCGTGTATGCTATAATGGCGAAAATTCATGATCAAACTGAGAGTCCACATGGTGTCACTGTGGACTAATTCTAGTTCTCTAAGTAAGTCTTCCATACCTCTTGGAAACCCGTTTATTTTCTTGCGCTCGTCGTTGTTGACACGATTCGGGTACATTTCCAGTCCAGGGAAGACCAGCCACAGTCACCAATGAGCGTGCCAGAAGTAATCCGTAATGATTTGCCGGTCACTTGGATCTATAAATCCTGCCTCAGGCATAAGATGGGTGTACGGATGATAGCCGTGAAAGAGGAGCGCCAGCGGTGCGTCCATAGGAAAGGTGCCCTTAAGATACTTCTTCGACCGTCGAAGTAGCAAGTCGAATTTTCCACTAGGCATATCGAAGCAGGTCGATAGCAATATTAGTAATGAGTGCAGCATTGACATGATTTGTTGAGCCACCCACAATTCAGCCCCAATCATCTTGCGCAAGTCACAAATCTCTTGGATATTAGCAATCAATGAGATAATTGCGAGAGAAAAAACTCGTCTTCTATCTCATTGCCGCTCTTTTGAATCTCAGCACTGAGGACAGAAGGCAAGCTTTCTTCTTCAGGGCTGTAACCTTGTTGACCTCTGGATCTTCCGCATGTCTATCGTTGACCGCTAAGATCTCGCATATGTTGCTCAATGCAATAGTACAATCTGCTTTGGCGCAACACTCATTCTTTTTGGTCGGGTGGGCTTCGTCGTCTTGGGTTTCAAAACAACAAAGGCAGTTCTCAGGATAGGAGTAAAATGTCTGTGTCTCTCATTGCTTCCCTGCGTAGAACAGTCTTCGCGAGTGGAGAAGAATACCGTGGCCTTTTCGCGAGCTCGGGGAGCGCGGGTAAAGAATTGACTCAATGCTCGCAATATTCCTCCCTTGGGCAGATTCCGGGCTATGGTCTTCGCCATAGGCACGATTCCCTAAGGCTTGACGAGTTTTTGAGTAGCATTAATAGGCCCCCTCCTCGCAGCACCTTTGAGTCGTGGCTTTTGATTATTTTACCTTCATAACCGTATCGATCCGAAGTCTCTGCTAGCCATCTCCCAATGTACTCGGTATCCTTCTTGTATTTCTTATAGCTGATCGGGTAGAAGCTAGAGTCGAGCGCACCTGCCGCATTAGACGACAGGCAAACTAGTGTAGTGAATGCTAAGCTCGGACAAAACGTGGTCTTTACTCTGAACTGACCTGAAGATTGAAAGATTAGGGTTAGGGATTGACTGATTAGGCCTAGTGTCGCACGGAACTCCTTCCACTGTCGGGGTAGGGGGAATACCCAGATACGCCAGGTTCCTTTTGCGTAGGCTCAAAGCTACGAAGGTTTTAGTACCTGTGCTACGAGCAATAGTGTCGAGAAAATGTAAGACGGTCTGTGATTAATATGATCATGCGAGCTCCATCCAAAGGAAGCCATCTCTGGCGCCACAAATAAACATCCTCTCTAAAGTTACGAAGCTAATATAAAGATGCGCCTCTAATAATTATTTTGCTTTCAGGGGCGCAATGGAACGGACGGACAACGCGGTTCTTCGCGCATCGAATCCCTGGGGCAGTCCCTTACTCGCGCGACAGCTATCCTCCTTCGGACGCGTTGCAAATAATGAAGTCCGTCGCTTCCCGCCTGCAATCTCCCCTGGCCTGCCATTTCGTGAGCCAAAATCATGATTATATCGTGTTTGCGACTGCATGCCATTGCTGACGATTGCAGAACCTTCTATTGTCGAGGATGGGTTTTTCTCACAGCCTTCACGAACCTTATCAACACCTGTGATTTCCCCATGTCAAAAACCCTGAACCCTGGTGCAATTCTCTACCCACAATCCTTGAATTCGACGCCATGTACCTCCCCTTTCAGGAAACAGGTCGAAGTGCCGAACGCTGGAATCCATGGTATCTTTCGTGCGACAATGACCATAAAATGCTGTTTTACCTTGCAATGCGGCTCGATCACATCGCTCAACCGTAAGCCTTCTCCTCCAGAACTTTACCACTCGATCAATTCGTTCTCTTCCTTACAACGCGCCAACTCACAACCAGTCGCAACCAATCATGCGCGCCACCACCTTCATCCCCACTTTCCTCCTCTTCCTCGCCTCCACCACCACCGCTCTCAGCCCCGTCGTCGAGCTCTACCCCGACAGCGAAGACTGCACTGGCACGAAAGTCGTGCTCAACACAACCGGCTGCCAAAATGTTCTTATCCGCGGCAGCGGCAAGGTCATCCAGGGCGGTGTGTCAGGCTTTTACGGCGAAGATTGCTCGGTCCAGATGGTCGGGGTCATGCTAGCGAAGCATGGATGCTGGATTACTTATCCCGGTTGGAAGAGCTTTTGGCCGGTCAATAGGGATTAGGTGGATGGCAAAAGAGCTGTGGGCTGATCGTTTCGATTGATGGGTGGAAGAGGAGGATGGTACCTTGGCAGATGAAATAAACTGGTAGTGGTGGATTTGATGCACTGTATCTTGAACTGTAGTCTAAGAAATACATCAAAGAGCGCAGCCAATCAATCATTATGTCTGACTATTAACGAGCTGGTAGAAACAGGTTGCTTACGAAAGTAGAAGGGTACCTTTGCAACAGGAACACAGTAGCACACGATAGTAATTCACATCGCGCGCTATACCTTCACCCAAGCATCTAATCCACTCTTCAGCTAAAGACCATGCTTTATATGTACTCCACTTCTTGTGTCACAAGACAATAACAACAGAAGCTTCCATGGATCTTCCATCTCAACCGCACCATGAGCCCTGGAAATTTCGGTTAGGTTCGACGCAGTCAGCTGGTCCATCCCTCTGAATCCGGGCGATAGCAGTGACATGCTCCTCTTCGGAGCTGTTGACAACTCGTATAGTCGCTTTGTTCAGCGCTTCATCCGACTCGATTGGCGGGCCCTTGTTTGTCTATACTGAACCGTTGCTGGGCCTTGGTTCACTCCTCACTCAATTGGATCATTGCATGCCTCGTCTCCCAGGCCGCGTTAGTGATCTCTTTTCGGGAGCCCGCAAGACCCTTAATCATCAGGAAGAGGCTGAGCTCTCGATGCGGATAATTGTTGTCTTCATCCGAGTCGGGATCCTGGCGACCCAGACCACGCTGGATAGAGTATTGACCTTGCTGAAGAAATGACCGTCACCCAATCATGAGCCCTTGCACCTGGAATACCAAGGAGAACGCGCCCTGTAACAAAGCCTATTTAAAGCTCTACAGATATCTCATGTGCGTCAGTACGGTTTCCTCATTCTTTTTGGCAGAGTCGTCATTCCAGTCTGGCTCAGAGGTGACTCGCAACTCGAACAACGCGACAGGGTCCGTGTAGGCTTGTTGTAGCTTGCCAAATTACTCTCCCTCCCTTGTGAGGTTCGGTTCCTCGCCGATATTGACGGCTTTCGCGAAGTACCTCAGATAGCGCCGCTTTCGTGTAGGCTTGAGAAGGTTTCTTGAACAAAATCTTCTCGTCTTAGTCGATCTCCCGTGTGAAGTAAGCGATACCCGTGACTTCTGACAGGCTGTTGCCCACGAACAGCCCCTAATGTTTGATGCATTCTTGAGTGGCAGCTGGTCGCGTGCCAAAATGAACATGGCTTTCTCGCCTACAGCGTTAATTATATCGAGATCTGGATACTTGGCGACTAGTTTTTGATGAAGCGCGTAGTTGTAGACATGGAGTTTCGCCATAAATGTGTTCTCGCCATTGCCGGTGAAGATATGTGGATGTAGACCGCAAATAGATGAATTAATATGGCTTGTAAATTCGGGGAATTCGTTGAGGAATGTCTGATTTAGCCGACGGTATACCTGTTGTGTGTGTTGCGATTAGTCAAGTGTATTACTGAGAGTATACAGCAATTCAATATAGCCTACATAAATACCAGAATTCATGAAAGTCACAGCCACTGTGTTTGTGACACGGCGCTGCTTGTACTCACGCTAGCTTCGGAGGATGGCCAATCGCACCTCTATGCAGTCCCACTGAAAGGAGTGAATGGCGAACGATGGCGAACGCGATGTGTTTTTAAATTGACTTCATGACGTAATTCTGTACTTTCTTCTATTCCTTTGCGGGTTCCAGACTTGGGGTATTCGTTTTGTCTTGATCGTCGACTGTCTCCTCTAGGTCCTAGTGCTCAAAAACATTTGCCAAAATCAGTAACTAGTGTTACAGGCAGTATCCAATAAGAGGCGTGATCTGCTCTACGCTTCGCGTAAAGCAGTTCTGCAAATAATGAAGGTCCTCCAGTATATCAATGGGGTACTAATGGGTACGGTTGGCTTTCTTCACTCCGTCGCTAGCGGGATCTCCTTGTGCCTTATAAAAGACTGCTCAAGCTTTCCGTAAGCTGATGACATCATTCAGAAGTGAAAGTATTCATGCAGGAACCTCGACTCCCGCAGAACGGATGCGTTCCCAATTCTTACTTGAACGAACGGAGTGCGTACGGCGAGAGAAGGGGTTTCGGTGGTGGGCATTGGGGCTACAGACTTCACCACTATCCAGCTTTGCCTTTCGACCTACCGCTGTTGAGTTTTGCGGAGCGGGGTAGACGCGATACATCTGTAATGAGTGATACGACGAAGACATGATCGACTTGTCCGATACACGTGCCAGTCTCGGCCAGCCATTGCACAAACCGATGCGTGTACTTCTTTTATCGTACATATGAATCGATAGGAAAGAGTGGAAGTGGAGGCATATGACTCAACGACGGCAAGTTTCGGGTCGATCTGCCCGAGGTAAGGGTTTGCGACATAGAATTCGACTTCGATAACAGCCACGTTGTTCCCGAACGAGTTCAGCTAGGCGAGCCGGATTGCAAACGATGTTGCCTAGTCTGATTATCGCACGTGGTCAAGAGGAGCCTCAGAAGCTGTTGGAATCTAATCAGCGTGGCCAACGAACAGAACAAACACCGAACAAGGTCCTTGTTCGTTCGTTTGATTTGTATACAAACGTTCGTACGTTCAAAGCGACACGAACAACAGCTGATTCGAACCGTACAGCGAACGTTCGGCTGAACGTTCGTATATATCGGGTAGCATTTTTGGCCGACGTCAACCCACCAGCGGTGTGAATCCTGCATCAATTTGTACATGTCCGGCGACGCGGAGATCGTCAATCTATCGTCGTAGAGGCTGTCGAAATACTCGTCGAGCTGCGACGTACGTTTCTGCCGCTTGTGTGCCTTCTTGCCTGTGAGAAGGTGGTCGTCAACAAAATCCACCGAACATGGTATCGAACAGCCGAACGTATGGCTCCAAAAATGCGTTCGTTCGGTGTTCTGTACGTGTCAACATGCCTGTACGTTCGTTGGAGTCAAAACACCAAAAAATGCCGTTCGGATCGATTGTTCGGAGGGAACGTACTGTTCGTTGGCCACGCTGAATCTAATAAGGTTCGTTGGAACTGAGCTACTCGCAGTCAGCCGTAGGTGATGATTGCGTGAATGGGTGGTGCATGGAGACGTGATTATGTAGCATTGGCTGCGGGCGCTCGCCTGAAGGCATGCGTCGTGGCACGAACTTTGAAAGCCCAATGCGGGTTCACAGTTCATTCTTCAACCAAGCAGGTTGATGCTATATGCAGTAAGCTACGGCTGAATCAATTGCACTGAAAATGATTGATCAACCTTGTTAAAAACGGAGACGTAGATGATTCAGCGAGGTGTGTTCTTCCGCGTTCTAAGGAATCTAATGTGGTCGTAAGCTAACAAGCCAGTCGTGATAGTTACGAATTAAATTACGAATTGAGTGTAAACATCCTGAGATTATGACGTTTTCAAGTGCCCCTTTGTTGGATCTCACGGTACCCTGGGCGAGCGAGGTTTGTGGATGTTTAAGTACACCTCGTTGCAACTGCCGCAAAGATGAGGTTGTCCGTTAGGAGCAGTATCTTACATTCACCAAAGACCATGCTGTTTCCGATGCCAAGGGTTAGTAGACGAGTTTTAGTGTCATCGGGAAGAGCTGCGTGTTTGCAGGAGGATGTGTTGGTTGTTATCTCCACCTGTGATGTTCAGTACATCATGGGATCCGCGAGTGAACGAACCCGTAGCTTTTCGCATCAAATCAGCCGAGGTCATTTCGGCATAGCGTCCTATTTGGTGAAGATATCCATCGTTCGATGACCCCAGCAGCATTCTTTTGCCGGTGTTGTGCTTTTGTCGTGCGCCATGTCGATGAGATCCATGACCGTTCCCAGTCCGCGACGTCGAGAAGATTGATATTCTCAGGTCTAATTGGTGCGTTGGTGGAGCTAGTAGAAAAGGCGATAAGGCATTCCTGGTACTTAATGGTAAGTATTCTCGGTGGTGAGAGGGGAGTCTTTTGCAGAGCATCAGTGAGAATTCAAACTACTTCCCAACAACATGTTGTGTTGCAAGAGTATCACTTTTAAGAGTATAAAGAGAATTATCTACTTAGTGCAGTTGATTGACATGTCTTTGAAACATGCTACCATCTTCATCCCATAGCATCGAAGGCGAGGTTCGACGTTAGCGTCGCGCCATCCCAATTCACTTTAGCCGCGAGTCACGTGAACCCGCACCCCCGACCGCCATCCTTGGCACCGATCGCGAATTTCCAAACGCCAACCGCAACTCCATTCCACAACAACAGCACCCACACAGCCCACGCACGATGAACCTCTCCGCCTTCCGGCCGGTCCTCCGACCCAACAATGCCACAAAATACCCCATCGCGAACGCCCTCAGACCAAACGCCGGTACAATACAACAAGGGCGAACCTCACCTGCAACAACCTCCCCGTTCTCATCAACCTCCCGCATGATGAAGCGCAAGAAGGGCAAGGGGCCGACCACAGATCCGCGAATCAGTACGTCGCCCACATCCAGAATCTGAAGCACCTTCAGCCCAGCTTCGCTGCCGATCCAACTCAACTCAACTTCAACTGTGTACAATTACTAACACGTGAACACCAGCCGCCATCCGCTACCACCTCTCGCACCCGCTGACCCCGCGCCCGCTCCACTTCTCTCGCCTCCGCGCCCTCCGCCACTGGACCATCCACCGCGCCTGGCTCCTCTTCCTGCGGCGGCGCCGCTGGGCCGAGGAGCGCGACCTCGAGCGCCAATTTCAGGCCATGAAATCCGCGTGTGAGCACCTCCGGCTCATGGATGCCAACGGGAATCTCGTGTCGGAAGCCGAGGCTGGAGGACAGGGCGCGGACCCGGGTACGATTGGGAGTGGCGGCAAGGAGGTGGGGCGCTTGTATCGTGCGGCAATGCTGAAAAGGGGCGTGTGGGGGAGTGTGCCGGTGGAGTATGCGCGGGCGCAGGTGGATTTCCCGAGCAGGGAGGGGTGGAATCATGCCTGGACCAGGGATTAGAAGGGTGCGCGTGGGAGATGAGGAGAGGAAGGGAGACGTGTATGATACCTTGTTGCTGAGGATATTCTTGGAAGGGCGGAATTCCGTCGTACAGTGCTGGCGGCATCTGTTGTACTATACTCCTGGTTAGAGCATGCATGCATCACACAATCCGGTGTATCCCTCACGTGCAACCGTGTCCCATATATCGCCCGTACGCCAGAACTCAAGCAAAATGAACAAATGTGCACGGTGACCACCACCATCAACCGCAGACGCACCAGTGGGGTACGTCCACGGACATAAATCACTATCAGTATACTATCGTACTTTCCCATCCTTTCGGTCCCCCGCCACCAAAGCAAAAGCGGCAAAATTCCCCCAAATATATCCATTAGAACCAGAAGCAAGTCCGTCCCCCGACTTTTGCTATACCTTGCAAGACAAAAAGCGAGGACGAGATTAGAAAAGGGAAAAGGCTATGCCGTTGACCGCTTAGCAATTCAAGATTTCAACGCAGGGAAACAGAGCTGCACGAAGAAAAAAAAATAAAGGAAGCAAGAATGGATGATGCGCCGTGAGAACTCCGCTCAATGCAAACAATGGATGGATGGATGGATGAATAGACGCGCACTGCACATGCCGTCAGCTCACATGATGACGCAGCAGCCGCCGTTCTCTTTCTTATCCGTGGAAAGAAGCGCTGCGCGGGTCGCTGCCTCGAACACGTCGTCGACGCCGTCGCCCGTCAGCGACGAGCACTCGAGGTACTTGCGCGCGCCAATGACCTCCTTCATGTCGGAGCCAGCCTTGGTGGTGGTGAACTTGAGACTCTTCTTGCGCATCTCCTCCTGCGCGAGCGGGTCCTCGCGCAGATCTTTCTTGAGTCCGACTAATATGATGGGCACGCCGGGGCAGCGCTCCCGCGCCTCCTCGGCCCACTTGTGCTTGACGTTCTCCAGGGAATCGGGCGAGTCGACGCTGAAGCCTATTAGGATGACGTGCGCTTTGCTATATGCGAGCGGCCGTAAGCGTTCGTAGTCTTCTTGTCCTGCGGTATCCCATAATGCGAGCTGGACGGACTTGCCGTCTACTCTGCAGTCGGTGACGTAGTTTTCAAAGACGGTCGGGACGTAACGCTGAAGGGCAGTTAGCAGCTGATGGATGTGACGTTGCCGATCGCGAGACCCACTGTAGGAAAGTAACCAAGGGTGAAGACGCTCAGGAGAGAGGTTTTGCCGCACGCTCCGTCTCCGATAATAACAAGCTTCCTGTGATTTTACTTTGATTAGCTAATGTCCCGATGTTTCGATAGTCGATATGTCAAACAGGGAAAACCCGTCGCGGTGCAACCGAGAAGTGATAGGAGAAAACGGCTCATCCGATAAAACTTATATCGCATGAAGTCAAAATCGACAAGCTGGGGTGGAGGGTTGACATGGGTGGCTAGTCGTGGTGCTATTTTTGGAAATGGAGGGTGTCGGATCGGGTACGCCAATGCAGGTTATCGCGCACGTCGCAGGCCTACTGCAACGTCCAATAAATGCTGCCGGCGATGTCCCACGACGCAATGGGGAAAGGTCGCGTGTGAAATGTAATAGTATGGTTTGCGCGAGTAATGGAAGATGTGTTGGAGCGGGTGGGAGGCCGAGGTGGGGACGTCGAACGGAGTAGACGAGAACGAGCGAAGGATGGGGGAGCGCAGGCTTGAGGGCGGCGGTCATGGATGCAGTGAGAAAGCGAGAGACGCGTACGTACCTGCGCATGACAGGCTCTCCATTCTGGGCCATGGTCTCCAACAGGCGTGCTGCCTGAATCGAGGGTATGCAGCGAGGATTGCGGGCGCTGATTCGGCCGGCGGCGGTGTGCGATGTGGACGATGCGCGCTCTCAGCGAAGAGGTCGCGTTCCGCGAAGGGAGCTGCTGCGTCGCAAGCACCTGTCGACGGCGGCCCTGGTCGGCGTGGGCACGCGGTAGCGAGCGGCGACGGGGCAGCAGACGAGGGGCCGGACGTGGGACGGCGAGACAGGGCGTGGATGGTTACACTCGGCGCGGCAAGGAGCGAGCGACTGACGGCGGCGTGGAGGCAGGTGCGATGGGGAGGTCAGAGGAGAGGGGATGCGGCGGCGCAGGGCAGGATGGGCAGCGTCACTGAGGTGCCGAAAGGCGCGTTTAAGGGTCGCTCACGCACGGGCAGACTGGAACTAGCGGACGAAACCCTGGGAGCGAATGGTGCAGCCGTGTCGAAGAGGTTAAGGCGCAGCACCGGGAGACGTGGAGGCTGAGAACCGAACCGGCTGGGACTGCAAGCGCAACCTGGGGCTTGGCGGTGCTAGCTAACGCGTCGTGGGCAACTTCGCAACGCCCGACCTCCAATATCTCGAACCACCGCAGCGAGCACCCCGCGACGCGCACCGGCCCGAGAGACGGGTCCGCTGGCCATTCTTCCGACCGCCCGCTCGCTCGACGACCTTCGCTTGCACCGGCCCGCGAAGTGAGTACTGCACCGCCAGAGCGGGGGACTGCCCAAGCCGCCGACCTGGCTTGCCACGGCTCGCGCTGCCGCTGCCGCATGCTCCCTTCCCAACAGCTGCTGATTTTGCCAGCCCGCCCGCCCCGACCCCGTCCTCTCCTCCGCCGCGCCCATGGCCCAAGGCACGCGGACGGCCGCCGCGCCGACGACGGCATCCTCCAACGGCGCCGCAGCCACCCATGCGCCACAGCCCACCGCCGTGAATCGCAAGAAGCAGAAGCGGCGGGAGAAGGAAGCCGCGAAGAAGGCGGCCGAGTCGCAGAAGCAGCCCGCAGGCCCCGTGAAGAACGGCATGCCGCAGCCTGCCCTGCAGCCCGCCCAGCACCCCCACGCGCCGCCCGCCCACCAGCAGGCGCCGCAGTACGCAGACGTCGACTACGAAGCCGAGCTCGACGACGGCACCCCGCACGACGACGAGGGCGACTTCTACTCGGACGAGGCCGACGACGGCTACTACGACGAGCAGGGATACCCCACCAATGGCCACTACGAGCCTGCGTACGCCTCGCGGCCGCCGCCCGGCAGCGTGGGCAAAAAAGCGAAGAAGAAATCAAAAGCGCCGCCCCCGCCACAGCCCGCGTACCACAACCCCCCGTTACGATCGAATCCCCACGCGCGCAAGCCCAACACCAACGCGAACAGCCGCATATGGAACACCACGACCCAAGAGGAGCGGGAGCGCATCCGCGAGTTCTGGCTGTCCCTCGGCGAGGACGAGCGCAAGTCGCTGGTCAAGATCGAAAAGGAAGCCGTCCTGCGCAAGATGAAGGAGCAGCAGAAGCACTCGTGCAGCTGCACCGTCTGCGGACGGAAACGGACGGCAATCGAGGAGGAGCTAGAGGTGCTGTATGATGCATACTACGAGGAACTCGAGCAGTATGCGACCCACCGCACATCCGCCGGTACCCTGTTCTCTCATGCTAATTACGGTTTTGCGTCCAGGGCCCCTCGCCCCATCATGCCCACCCACGCCCCACCGGGCCACTACAGCGATCCCGACGAGTATTCAGGTGATGAAGAGGAGGGAGACCAAGACTACTCGAATAGTGAGATATCATCCGAGGAAGACTACAGCGAGGAGGAGCGGAGCTTACCACCGCCTGAAACTGCGGATTTTCTCCGGTTCGGCAATAGTCTACAAGTAAAAGGTATTGCATCTGTCATGTCGCTGTTGCGGGAGAGACTGATGCATTCTCCAGGCGGAATCCTAACCGTGGCCGACGACCTGCTGAAGAACGACGGGAAGAAGTTCATCGAGATGATGGAGCAGCTCGCGGAGCGGAGAATGCAGCGGGAGGAAGAGGCACAGTACCAAGCTCATCCGTCCATGTACCGAGGAGGCCCCCACAACTCGCACCACAACCCACCCCCGGAAGAAGACGACTTCGATGACGAGGAGGAAGATGAGGAAGGGTACGAGGACGGGGACTACGAGGACGACGAGGACGACGAAGAAGTGCGTACAGACGGCGCGCCGTGATGTTTGTTGCTAATCGATATCAGGACACGATGACCGAGGAGCAGCGAATGGAGGAGGGAAGACGCATGTTCCAAATATTTGCCGCGCGAATGTTCGAGCAGAGGGTTCTCCAGGCCTACCGAGAAAAGGTGGCAAAGGAACGCCAGGAACAACTGTTGCAGGAACTCTTGGAGGAAAACCAGCAACAAGAGCTCAAGGACGCCAAGAAAGCCAAGGAAGCTGCGAAAAAGAAGGAGAAAAAAGAGAAGCAGAAGCAGCAGAAGCTGGAAGAAAAGGCGCGCAAGGAAGCTGAGCAAGCGGCAAAGGAGGCCGAGCTGAAGGCAGCAGAAGAGAAGCGACAGGAAGAACAGCGGAAGAAGCGGGAGGAGCAAAGGAAGAAGAAGGAAGCCGAGCGGAAAGCACAAGAGGAAGAGAAGCAGCGCAAAGAAGCCGAGCGACTCAGGCGGCAACAAGAGGAACGCGACCGGCAACAGGAGGCTGAACGAAAGGCGCGGGAGCATAAGCAGCAGGAGAAGAAAGCTCGAGAGGAAGCCAAGCGGAAGGAGCGTGAAGAGCGTGAAGCGAAGGAAAAGGAGGTCAAGGAGAAGAAGGCCCAGGACGAAAAGGACCGCCGAGATCGCGATGCGAAAGCTAAAGCCGAAAAGGAACGGGCACGGAAAGACGAGCATACCGCTTCTCAGCATGCCACTGTGCCGGCGAAGAAGAACTCACAACCTGTTACTGTGGCTCTGCCACCTCAGTTGCTGAAGCAAACTTCTTCGACGGGAATGCCTTCGCCCCACGTAACACCGGCCGTGCCAAAAGCCCCCACACCGAGCAGACCACGTCAAAGTTCGCAACAGGGCTCGCATGGATCGTCTCCGAAGCCCTCGAGCAAATCAATGTCGCCTACGTCACAAGCGCAGGTTCCTATTGTTCCCAAGTCGATTCTCACCAAACCTCCAACCTCACAACAGCCTAACCAAGCACCTCCAACGCAACCCACATCGCCTATGCCACCGATAGGCCCACCGCCTGGGATGCCTATACCCCCAGGTATGGGAATGGGGACCATGCCGCCTGGTCTGAATGGTTTCCCCGGTCAGATGCCCGGCATGATAGGCCCCGGTCGGAACATGCCAATGTTCCCGCCTCAACCTGTTGCGCAGCCTTTCCGGGGTTTCCCGCCTCCAGGCATGCACGCACCAAACCCTATGTCAATGGGCCGAGGATTTCCTATGGATGGACCGCCACCCGGTTTTGGACCGATGCAAGGTTTCCCCACCCCGACGCATCCTCCCGGCTTCGGTATGGGGATGCCCTCCCACTCTCGGCAGACTTCAGGGTCGTTTGGGAAGCAGGACGCAGACAGCCCTGTCGGTCCACCAGGAGCACACCCCATCCAGCGGCCAGCGCCTATCCAGCGGCCATCCAGCACTAAGCCTCACGATGATGGCATGGGCCGCGACGTGGACGAGCTCGCAAACCATCTAGGGAGCAAAGCGCTGTTGGATGATGCAGAAGACCTTGATCTCGATGAGTTCAATCCCACCGCGGCGCGCAGGAGGAGCACTCAGCCTGGACATGGCTCGCTGCGAGGAGCGCCACTTGGTTTCGGATTCGTCGATATACCAGGCCCACCGCGACCCGACATACCCGGGCCATTTGCAGGCTCGAATAATGCCAGTGTCTGGGGAACCCCGCCGATGGGCGGTATGCCTTTCCCGATGCCAGGTGCAGGCTGGGGTACCTCGCCGACGTCGAACCTCTTCAGCAACCCGTTTCCCATGATGTCAGCACAGCGACCACACGAACAACGCGGACCGGGTGAGCAGCGACTTGTCTGGCTTCGACGCATAGTATGTTCGACTTGCAAGATGCTCTCCATGCGACAGCCCGGCGCCGACGGTTACATGGACGCGCAGGAGGTCCAGAGCCACATCGAATCCGCGCGGGGTCCGAACGAGCCGTCCGTAGGCATGCAGGAAATCAAAGAGGCATGCGACATCATCGGCGACCACAATAACGGCGGCGGATCCCTTGAGTACAAGGAATCGCCGCCCGGACACCTCAGCCACATCAAGTATGTCGACGCCAGTGCCATACCGCCGCCCACGCTCGGCGAGATCGGCAGCCCCATCCCCTCGCACAGCGTGCCGGTGGGCGGGGGCTTCGGCGCCGGCAGGCCGTTTCCGGGGCTCGGGCCGCAAGGCTTCTAACTCGCTTCTCTTCTTTTCTCGCGTCAATTTCAATATCCCCTTTCTAGTTGGATGGAACTTGGACATGGTTTGTTGTCAAGGAACAGGACAGAACAGGACAGGGCTTACTTGCTGGATATCGATGATGGGCTATTGCGTAGTTGGTCTACTCACAAGTACGAGCGTCCTAGGCTTTGACCGGACTGCTTGGCCCAAAAGAAGATTAATCCTCTTGTCATGATTTTATGCGTGATGTGTGTTGTGGTGACTTGCACTCTGAAGTGGTAGGTACCTCTGACGTAACATTAGGAAGGAGCGCACTAGACCTTACCTACAAAACACAATCAATTACGTTGACACTTCACTTCCGCTGTTTGCTACAACAGCCATTGGGCCAGCGGCGCACGAAAATGTGGTCCGCATAACGAGTATCCGAAGCCCAAGCACGCCGCTTGCATTCAAAACACTGAGAGTCTTAAGTAAGCTTCTAGAGCACTGGAATACGATTTATGACGACACAAGGTAAGGAGACAACCCAAACTGGAAGTAGGTGTGACTTCTCTCCGCCGTGGCAGGTCGCGTTGAAAAGGCAGGTGCGGCTGGTGTAGTAAATAGAAGGCCGCGCTACGCCGCTCTACACACCAAGCAAGTTACCACTCTGACACGCCACTTTGTTACTTTGGCACTGTGGCGGGGTGGCTACAAAGAGGTAGCAATTAAACCGATGGTCACAGCGCCTGACAAGAGCATGGCCCAAATACTGAACACCAGAGAGCAAAGCGCGCCGCAGATCAATGGTTTAAGTACGATTGTAATGTCTGGAGTGCGGATGAGCGAAGGGTTTGGGCGAAGCTCAACAAAGATCCGGGTCAGGATGAGATACTAGATGACTACATTATTACGTATTGGAATAAGCAGAATATTACGTGTAAGACTGACAAAACTTGAATTGATGCTGCTACGTTTACGGAGGCCACTAAATGTGCAGTGGTCACGTATACTTAAGAATCTATTGGTTTAAAGAGATTCTCGTCCCTTTTCTGCCCCATGATAAAGATGAGTCGTAACAGGTACAAGTCGATAGGTTGAATTAACCAGAGCAGCCTGAAAAGAACACTAATCTTATCTAATTTTACGCTGTCCAGACTATGACGGGGAGCTAGTGGTTGACGTTAGTGGGATGGAACTAGTAATATCGCATTCAAAATTATCTAGATTATTAACGAGATCATCGCACGCGACAGTATGAAGATACGTGTTGTAGGCAAATGACAGTTCTTGATCGGCGGCGACAGCACTAAGTTGTAGGAGTCTGGAGGTCTTCTTCCTACGCGCTTTTGCTCGGTGTATCAACCATGTCCCACATTCTCAAATCAAGGAAGCCGATCCAGGAGAAGATGAACATGTTCTACACGACTGAGGGGGTTAAGCTGAAAATAATGTCGAGCTCCTTTAGGACTTACGACTGAAAACCTCGCTATCCGACGGGTGAAGGCCATAGTGTGTTCATGGATATCCGGATTTCAAGTTCCCCTGAGGAACCGCTTACGATGCATACCTGGGGAGCATCGGCTCTTTAAGTCTATAATGATGTTTCTCAGCTTGTTCGACCATGTCCATGCGCGATCGCAAGGACCATTGAGCGGGGACGCGCGAAAAACTGGCCTGCTCATGCGCGTGGCGACGCAATACAGAGCGCTAGAGCGCCGGTACTAAGGACTCGATACGCAAATATCGTTTGGAAGTCAAGTACTAGGGAGGACCACAAATCTACAATGTGAACAATCAGCCGTCAATGAGCCTCCAAATCCACCGGCGTAGCCTCTGCCTCCAAGGCCATACTCGTGTCTAGAACAACCGTCTCAACATCCGTCACGCTCGACACAAACGTCTGCACCAGCCCTCCACCGACCCATTCCGTTCGACTGAGAACCCCCTCCACAGTGACAGCATGGGTCCATGGAATTGAAGTCGGCGCGCGAGGAAACGGCGCCAGCGTCGTCAGTGTCTGGTCGAGGTTGGAGAATTGCGTTCTGTCGAAGAACGGCGGCACAACTGCGGAGAAGTTCAGGATACACGAGTGGATCTCGGTCAGGGTCGTGGGATATGTCCTCGTGCTGACCGGCGGTGTCTGTGTGGTCTGCGGCGTACATGTCCCCCAGATCGATGCGGCGGCTACCGGTAAGAGCGCGAGGAGCGGTAACGACGTGTGCATCGGTGTTTATCTTTCTAAATGTGCGCAGCGATGCTGACTGGTGAGGATTGCTGTTTTCGCGCCTCTCTCGCAATAAGGTGGTCCTCACGGCCCTTCCAGGCTTCAGACTCGCCTCCTCGTAGTCCGTGCAGATCCAGATGGGGAGCGCATGTGGAATCTCGCTCTCTGGCGATGCAGTTTAGTGGCGGCTAAATTCGAATGCAATATAAGATATTGTGACGCCCTCTCCACTGCACCAGCGCCATACAGCAAACTGGTTTGATGAGCTCTATATCTATTACCCGATTTAGCAAATGATAGGTCTTCAAGCCGTAATTGCGTGCTATAGTAGCTGTAGTAGAAAAGAAAGACGCCATCTGAAGGGGCAAACATAGCTTTTGCTATTTCTGATGGACTGTAATTTACCAATGTCCATAGAGGTTTAAAGGAAAGAGGGGATACCTAAATGGTTTGCAATGCTACGTCATTGCGGAATGGCAAGGACTGATCGGGGAAACGAGTGGAAGAATCGCCGGAATAGGAAGAGCCAACTACTGCTTGTCCACTTCTCCAGCCAAGACTCTATATGGCGGGACCATTAAAGTGCAAAGCGCAAGAACCACCTGTCGATATGTCGAGGCACTATGTACGTCAATATAAGGTGATCTTTTAGCCACAGACGAAGGCGAGCTGTGCAGGCTCAGCTCGTGGTCAGATTATACGGGGAAATAATATGGACTTCCTCTGGTAACATTTTTAAAAAAAAAAAAAAAAGGTTATGAATCATTGACAAGTGCTGTGCAGATCGATTGTGAAGTGACTGAAGGTTAAACCGACTTCGGGTACAGTACACAATGTGCATTGGGGTCATCAGCTTAGAAATAGCTAGATTGTGATTGGTCGATAGAGGCATTCGCCACATCTCTATACCAGTGGCACAGCGCGCTAATACGTGTTTGGCAGTAGGTAGTTGCCAACAAATCGCTCGCAACAACAAGAGATCTTTCAAGACGTCATAGATCGCGAAAGTTTATGGAAGAACCCACATAACTGATCAAGCTCAGCCTTAAACTTAAATCCAGGTTAGTAGGTTCAAGCTTTTAGGTCGTCTAATTATTCAAGCAAACAACCCAAGACAAGCAACTTTACCAAAAAGCTTCGTCACTGGTTTCGATTCCGGCTCGTTCCGGATGCAGAACCGCCGTCGGCTCGATTAACTCATTCACGATGACAGCGACGTTTGCTTAGGAGCAACGACACTTGATTTCGGCAATGAAAGAATACATCTGTGTTAAGTTTGAACCTACTTCGCAATGGATCTCTATACCTATACAATTGGATTGCCTTCAACAAAATCTACTGATTCCATTCTTGAAGCTAGATTCCCAAATAATTAATCCGCCGGTCGTACCCAATATTGCGACCCTCCACTCATCCTCAAGAAACTCCATCTATCAATCGTGCGAACCTTCTAAGTGACGCCATACTGTAACCGAGCCGAGATCCATTTCCATGGCTACAAGAGGATTACTACGCCGGCTGGTCTCTTTGCCGCCGTGACGCTAGCCATTGCGCGACGACCTCCTCTGTAGCGCGCACTTCTTCTCGTTCATCAATCCGTACGGAAGACGAGCTACTCGCATTCGAGGCGCTCCTGATGCTGCCCGCGCTTTGATTGACTGCTGGTGTTAGAACCGTGACTGGAAGATCTGGGGGGAGATATGGTACCCAACGTAGGACTGGAGAAAGTCGACGTGGAATCTTGATCAAAGCTACGAGGCGACGACGCTGTGCTTATGTCGCTCTGTGAACTGCGGAACCAGAAACGTCCGAAGCGGGACTGGCCAGAAGAGGATTTGCTGTTGCGACACATAACCGTTGGAGTACGTTGAATGGCGTCGGGAGGAACACTTGAAGGTGAAGATGGACCCTGTTGGTGCAGCGGGGCGGCAAGTATTTATACATCCAGTCTGCGCATAATTAAAGCATGCTGTGATCATACTACACAGCCTTGACCAAAGAGGTATTTGATGAAAAGGACCCTGCCGCTAGCATAGCCAGAGCTACGAGCCTAGCCCACAAATTTGCCACTCGCACCACACTTACGCGTAACATGTCATGTTTAGGTTGCTGAAAAACACAGTGGAGATTATTGGCTGGTGTTAATCAGATGTATACCCATTGTAATCAGATGGGACTTCTCACGGTGCGGCCGCCATCTAGCGTTTTGTGGCACCAACACATCGCCAAAGCAAGAATTGGCCCAGCTAGGCCGGCCTTCAGGGCATATAAATATCATCCCATTTGCTCACAACATCTAACAACCATCAACTTTACATACCAGGACGTTACCATACTCCATATTGCCGGCAGCTAATTTCTCACCCAAGAAACATAACGCCAACCTCTGCACAACACAACATGGACATCGAGCCTGTACGTCTCAAGGCAGCCTCAAAACCACCCATCACCTCGCTAACTTCCTCGACACCAGTCCCTACCGCACGCCGAGCGTCACTCCTCCCACAGCGCCCTTCTTGGCCCGATCATTATTGGCTTCGCAGACGGCCTCACTGTCCCCTTCGCTCTCACTGCGGGCCTCTCCTCCGTCGGCTCCCTCAACCTCGTCATCCTTGGCGGTCTCGCCGAGCTCTTCGCTGGTGCCATCTCCATGGGCTTAGGCGCGTATCTCGCTGCCGCCACCGAAGACAAGCACTACCGCGTTGAAGAGGCGCGGGAGTGGGAGGAGGTGGAGACCTGTCCGGAGATGGAGGAGGCAGAGATTTATGAGTTGATGTTGAAGGAGTATGGGCTGGGGAGGGAGTGTATCAAGCCGGTTGTGGAAGGGTTAATGAAGGATAAGGGGATGTGGGTGAAGGTATAGCGTCTCTTTTTTTTTATCCTCGTTCCCGGCTTCAGACACTAAGGCGCACATAGTTCATGATGGATTTCGAGCTCAAGCTCGCGAGGCCCACAACTTCGAGACGGTGGGTTGAAGCTCTCTGCATGGGCGTGTCGTACTTCCTCGGTGGACTCGTGCCGATGATTCCGTACTTTGCGTACAAAGACGTCAACTATGCGTTGTTTACTTCTATCGGAGTTACAGTCGTGATTCTTGTCATTTTCGGATACGTCAAAGCTATCGTCACGGGTTGTACCAGGCATGACGCTTGCATTAGTTCGATGCAGACGTTGGCGATTGGAGTCTTGGCATCGGCCACGAGCTATGGGATTGTCAGAGGGTTTAATCAGATCCGGCCAGTGCATCCATAACTTTTTCCATGATAAATGATAGGTACGGGACGATGCCTATACTTCATTTGGGCTCAAGGTTAATATAAAGTCGAGACATGTTGACACAGCAAGACAGGATGGGACTCCAAATTGATATATGATACATTCAATCGCAGCAATACCAATTAGTGCTGCTATTATTATTTTCACACTGCTTACTCATATGCCTGTCTGCTTCTTGACAGACGCTCATCACTGCTTCACAACTTTTCCTTGCTGTCCTTGCCATCCTCGACGTCCGCCGGCGGAAGATGCGTAGGTAGTCTCGTCCAGGGAATCACAGCGGTCCAAAGCGCGCCGAGAAGAACAATGCCGGTCGCAACGCCCCAGACGGCCTTGAGGCCATGGATGTAGGCCGTGATGATGCCAGGAAGCTGCTCGGCGGTAAAGACCTCTCGCAGCTGCGTGGCTCCGGTGTTGATGACCAGTTGAGGGTCGACGCCTGGTGCAGAGGATGGCAGCTTTACTAGCAGTTGGTTAACGAAGGCGGCTTGTGCTGCTGATGTTGTAAAGGCCCCGCCAACGGTTTGGAAGACTAGACGTTTGATCAGCATTGGAACACTCACACGTTGGTGATGGGGAATGGACTTACAGTATACATTAGCGACCACCGCAGCCAGGTCGGCATTCTCGACGTTTGCTTGAGCAATATTCATCCCGTTTTGAACCGAGAATGCGATTCCAGCTCCGGCGAGTAGCTGATACCCAATCCATTTGCCTGTCGACGTCTCAAGGTCAAGCATGCATAGCAGTCCGCAGCCGATTGTTCCCACCGCTGCGCCGACGAGCATGGTTGCGGTCGCATGTCCGGTCTTTGAAACGACAACCCCTCCGACAACGCAAAAGATACCGACGGCAACCACGATTGGGAGATTATATACTCCTGACATGATCGGACTGGCGCCAAGGACACTTTGGAAGTAAATAGGAAGGTAGTAGAGCAGTAAGACGAGGTCTCCCATAAGGAGCAGCTGATACGGGACCACAGACCAGATGGCGCGCTTCTTGAATAGGCGTGGGAGGAGCATAGCATACTCATCCAGGTACCACTCCCAGGCGACCAGGACGAGTGAGATGACGACAAAGCCGACGAGGTTTCCGATTACCTTTCCGGTCTTCCAAGGATGCTCCCCACCGAGACTGGCATAGTGCAGACCGAGGATGAAGCAGACTATAGCACCCATGGCTAGCGCCACGCCTACGGGGTCTGTTTGTAGGAATTTCTCCTTCAGGCTGGCCTTTGGTGGTTTCGCTGCGGCGGGAAGATGGAAGAAGAAAAAAACGAGAAGACCGGCTAAGCCGCCAATGGGCAAGTTTATGTAGAAGCACCTAGACTGTTAGCATCTTAGACGGTCATTCGTCTGGATCTATTACGCACCATCTCCACGACGCTCCTTCAGTGAAAGCGCCACCGATGAGCGGCCCGAGGACGGAAGCAAGACCATAGGTCAGTCCGATGTAGCCCATCAGTACGGGGCGAAACTTCGGAGTGGTGCTGAAGGCTACGATGCTTGTGCCACCAACGGATATGCCCGCACCGCCCATGCCAGCAATGACGCGTCCAACGATAAGGACTTTCGAAGTCGGCGCGACGCCGCATAAAAGACTGCCGACCTCGAAAATGAAAATGGAGAAGAGAAACGTCCACTTGAGGTCGAAGTACTTGTAAACTTTGCCCCAGGAAGCTTCGAGCCCGCCAAATGTCATGAAGTACGCAGCGCCATACCAAGTGACATCTCCGAGGCCACCGAACTCGTCTGTAATCTTAGGTATGGCTGTGCCGAGGATAGTCTAACACGTCCGTCAGATATTGCTCGACTGGAGGCGAGGCGCATTGCTCACCTGGTCCATAGAGATCAGGAACACGCCCATGATGGAGGCTCCGGCGAGACAGAAAAGTCGGAAGCCATGTGGGTACATGTCTTCATCATCTTGCTGGATGACGACTTCTGCGCTCCCGTTGTCAGGGCCCGCGTCGCTCTTGGTGGTGATGATATTTTCCGGCTCGCTTTTGGGTGTTATGGTGTTGTCTGTCTCGCTTGCGGTGTCGCCCTCGAGCGTGGGGGCGTTCGCGTGTGCTGAAGCGGCCATTGCGACGAGGCTAGACGCTGGATTGATCGCAACGAGTGGACTCACAGTGAGTTAAAGACACTCAAAGCTGAGCAGTAAGTCTGCAGACCGCCAAGCAGAAGCGGACGCGCAGCTTACAAATGGAGGATTGCGCGCGTCTGCTGCTTTGTCCCACGGGCGCGGGAAGCCCCCGCCGGGCGGGACATTTTGTAGCGACGGCAGGAGCGCCGCATGCTTAGAAACCACTGGAATGCAGATCAAATGCAGATCCCAGCGGTGCAATTAAGCCTCGACCTCCATTGGTAATTGTGCAGCGAATGGGGATTCGGCAGTGATACCGTTGAGAATGGAGGAGCCTTGGGGAGCTGAGGCGACGATGCCGGTCAGTTGCAAGGGCCCTCGGACACCAGCTTAGCGCTCCCGCGATTAGCATTCATCAGGAGCTTTTAATTCGACTGCGTCGCTTGGCAGCAGAGGCTCGCGGTGACTTCACTCTGTCGCTATTGGTCATCGGTGTCGGCTTGTTCTCCCACCTGCAATTGGCCAACCTCGCTTGCGCGCTGCCGGACGTCTGTACCACGGCTGATTGCCGCCTTCGGAAAAAAATGTAGTGCAGCAAGACAGGTAGTATCAGTCAGACGTGTCCTCCTTTAGACGTTGAAGACACCTCTCGTCGCGCCTGTCTCACATTCGCCGTCATTTTCGAGATCATACTCTAACGTGAAGATGTCTCTCGCACAGCTCAAGCGCATCTACACGGCTTTCAACCCGCCCGCTGTGGAGAAGCGCGGCGATGCCCTGAAGTTTGGAATCATTGGCGCAGCCAATTCGGCGGCCTGGGCTTTGCTCATTCCCGCCAAAATGCACCCAGAGGTCGTCGTTCACGCTATAGCAGCGCGTGACCGCAAGCGTGCTGAAGAATTCGCAAAGAAGAATGGCGTCCCCGTTGTATACGATTCGTATCAAGGTAAGCTCCCGTGCGTCCTTTTTTTTCTTCTCCATATATATTAACGTTACTTCCTAGAACTCCTGGACGACCCGGAAATTGACTGCATCCTCGTGCCACTACCGAATTCGCTACACTTCGAATGGGCCGTCAAGTCTATCCGCGCCGGGAAACATGTACTCTTGGAGAAGCCGTCCGTTTCCAATAGCCACGAGGCGGAGATACTCTTCAACCTCCCGGAACTGAATCAGCCAAAAGCACCTGTCATTCTCGAGGCGTTCCACTACCGCTTCCATCCCATTTGGTCTGCTTTCATGTCTAACGTCACTTCTGCGGATGTTGTGCACGTGGACACATACAGTATGATCCCATGGTGGTTCGTCAACAAGGACCACATTCACTTCAACTACAACCTCGCGGGGGGGACCATGATGGGCATGGGCACATACAACTTTGCAGCACTGCGCCTCATATTCGGCGCTGAGCCTGAAGAGTGCATTAGTGTTGACGTCAAGGCACTTACCGAAGGGGTCCATCACGACTGCGACACCGAGTTCAAAGCCAAATTCCGCTTCCCCAATGGCTGCATCGGCGAGGCGTTCAGCACACTGCAAGGGCCTACGATCTGGCATCCGTCATATGCGAGGGTGACGCACCGCCAGGTCGAAGTCGAGGACAAGACACTTCCATCATCGCAAAAGAAGTTTGTAACTCGCGAAGTAACCCTCCACGGCTTTATCCATGCCATATTCTGGCACCGTCTTGACATTAAGGAATCCTATGAGATCCGCGACAAAGACACAGGCAGAGTCGTGAAAAAGTGGACCGAGAGCAGGTGGCAGAAAGCGCATACTGCGAAGGAGGCCGGAGTGGATCTTGGGAAGACTGAAAGTGAGACCTACTGGATGTCATTCCGATACCAGCTGGAAGCATTTGTCAATCGTGTCAAGGGACGCGAGACAGCGTACTGGGTCGACCGCGAGGATTCGGTGCGCCAGATGAAGATGGTTGACATGGCCTATCAGAAGAGTGGATTGGGTGTCAGGCCGACGAGTAAATTCCAAGCGAACTGAGCACTTAGGAAGCGATTTGAGGAAAGGTATCAAGGAAATACAGCTCAAATAGAGAATTCAATTTGAAGTCCGGTGGCAAGATCCAGATTCATGGCGGTATTGATGAGCGTAGGGGTGCCATGCTAGTGACGCTGGTGGGAGAAGGCTTCCATTCAAACACTCTTTCCTCTGAATCCCTGTGACCTGTTGAAATTACGTAGCAAGTATACTACAGATGCAATGACGACTTCTATGCCATCAGTACCGCGAGAACAGACTCTAACATGAATGTAGTGCACGAGTGATCCAATTATGCTATACAGAGGCACGAGGTAAGCCTCACACCCCCTCACACCCTCACTCTGCAAATAGTCTCACCAGCGATACTTCGCTTTTCTCCGATCCGTACATATAGCTTTAAGTGTATCTGTGCCATATTCCACCTCAAGTCGACGGACACGCATCGCACATGCTCAGTCTTGTTAGCTCCTATGGCGTCAGACTTCTCAAGATTTAGTTTGCAATACGAGAAGGGACGGTCCGAGGGGCCAATCGGAGTGGATGTCACCTATCATTTTGAACCGTAGGTGTGTCATCTATGACAAGAATCGTTGAGCCAGCTGTGTGAACACGTAATCCCTTGGTAGTAAGACAAAAACCGAATGATCTCCATGTGTAAGGGATAGAGAGGCCGAAGCTGATACTTCCGGCACTATTTGATAGTGATACGCAAGCCGAATGATCTGCTCGTGTCACGGGAAGATTGCCTTCGGGGTATTTTTGCCTAAGGAACTTATCGGGGCCACAGAAGTTCAGAAGCTCCTGGCTTAATCGCCGACTAATTCCTTGGCCATTGACAAGACTCCTCGGTATGGTGTCGGCGATTTTAAGCTTTGCGGCGAAAAGCTTCAGCGGACAGGAGCAGTGGGCCGATGCGACACTGCTGTCATGTCACTCCAAGCGGACTTCGATGCAGCCAAAAGGGCACCGGGCGATAGGAAAGATATTTTCACCAATGATATCAATAGTTCCATTGATTAGAACACTCAACAAATACCCAAGTGGATTGCTAAGTGCTTCCTTAAGCAGTCGAAATCCCACTTCTCTGCAAGCAGTCAGCTTTGATCTGATCACGTGCAACTACCACAAACTACGCTAGAATACGCGTACGTATCACTCTTTGTAAAAGCGAAACTTACACTCACGTCGTAGAAGGATGGGTCCTAACCAGCAAGAACCGATTGCCATTGTAGGGAGCGCCTGCCGCTTCCCTGGAGGTGCCAACTCGCCATCAGCACTATGGAAGCTCCTGGAGAGCCCGCGTGACGTGGGTGTGGACATTGGTCCAGATCGGTTCGACGCCAAAAGCTTCTATCATCCTGACGGAAGTCATCACGGCACCAGCAACGTCCTTCGCTCATATTTGTTGCAAGAAGATGTGCGGTTATTCGATGCACCATTCTTCAACCTGAGTCCTAATGAGGCGGATGCGATGGATCCACAACAACGAATACTACTCGAGACAGTTTTCGAGGCGCTTGAGGCGGGAGGTCACTCCATTGAGTCCTTGAGAGGATCAGATACAGCTGTTTATGTGGGGACTATGACCCTAGATTATAAGTAAGCGTGCTCTGACTTCCAAACTTGGCCTCTACTGACTTTGTGCTAGCGACACCCTGATCCGGGACCACAACACAATGCCGAAGTATTATGCAACGGGGACAAGCCGGGCTATCATATCGAACCGCGTCTCATATTTCTTCGACTGGCACGGCGTAAGTCAGACTATTGATACGGCGTGTTCGTCGAGTTTGATAGCACTTCACCAGGGAGTGCAAGCGCTTAGGAGCGGTGAGTCGCGCGTTGCAGTGGCATGTGGAACGCAAATGCTCCTTGGGCCCGAGATGTACATCGGTGAGAGTACATTGAAGATGTTGTCACCCAATGGGCGGTCCGCGATGTGGGATGCCAGCGCGGATGGCTACGCCCGTGGAGAAGGGGTAGCATCCGTCGTGATCAAGCGATTGAGTGATGCTATCGCCGATGGTGACCACATTCATTGCATTGTTCGCGAAACCGGTGCCAACCAGGACGGCTTCTCGAACGGAATAACGGTCCCCAATAGTGATGCCCAAGCAGCATTGATCCGACAAACCTACGCGAGAGCTGGCCTCGATCCGGAAAACGTACCACAGGACCGACCGCAATTCTTCGAAGCTCACGGCACTGGCACGCAAGCGGGTGACCCGAAAGAAGCAGCTGCCATTCACCAGTGTTTCGGGAGACACGTGGCTGACTCTGAGACGCCGCTGTATGTTGGCTCGGTCAAGACTGTCATCGGACACCTCGAGGGCTGCGCGGGGCTCGCTGGGGTGTTGAAGGCAGCTGGCATGGTGCAGGCTGGTATGATCCCAGCTAACCTACATTTTCGGCGGTTGAACCCAAAGATCGAACCATATTATGACGGTCTACAGGTGCCAACGGAATTGACTAGGTGGCCGAAGCTACCGGATGGGTGCCCGAGACGTGTCAGTGTTAATAGCTTTGGTAAGTGCTTCATGAGATAGTGTGTTGTTGGCCGACTTGTTCTGCTTATCGACATGTCAACTGGTGGGAAACACGCAAGTCCGCTACCGTACCGGTACGGTAGTGACCCGCGAGCGATGCTTCGTTCACTCTTATCGTCACGCTTCCCATCTCCCTCCATTGCACCTCCCAGACCTATGAACAAAGAAAGTACGTATGCCAATACTGACACTGCCAGGCTTTGGAGGCACAAATGCGCATGCTATAATAGAGGAATACCGGCCTCCCGTTCCCCCGGCTTCTGTAAAAGGATCGTCGCCGTCACTCACGCCCTTCGTATTTTCTGCTGCGTCCGAAATATCTCTCCAAGCCCAGCTTCGAGCTTATTCGAGATTCTTGAAGGAGAATCATGGAGGTATCCATCCAAATGACTTGGCCTGGACGTTGCATGCACGCCGAAGCCATCTCTCGACGAAAGTGGCGATAGCAGCACTTTCGACCGAGCAACTGGGGCTCAAGATTGACGAGATGCTTGCCAGCGTGGACCAGAATGCTGGTGCCACAGTCGGCCTGCGTTCCATCCCCAACACAGGTACTCCGCGGTTGTTGGGGGTTTTTACGGGCCAAGGCGCGCAATGGGCAACCATGGGTTCGCATCTCATCCGCTCATCCCCCTTCGTCCAGGAACGACTGTCCTCACTCCAGGAATCACTGGATACGCTTCCTCAGGAGGATCGGCCAACGTGGCGTCTTGAGGATGAGCTACTTGCTCCAGCCGACAGTTCACGCCTAGGCGAGGCCGCACTATCCCAACCATTGTGCACGGCAATCCAGGTCATCTTAGTGGACATGCTCCGAGCGGCCGGAGTCACCTTTGCTGCTGTCGTGGGACACTCATCTGGTGAAATCGCCGCAGCCTATGCTGCTGGGTTCTTGACCGCGAGTGATGCCATTCGCGTTGCGTACTACCGAGGCCTTTATGCCTACTTAGCTGGGAACAAGAATAATCAGCAGAAAGGTGCCATGTTGGCAGTCGGAGCATCGTGGGAAGAGGCGCAACAACTCGTTTCTTCGCCCGAATTTGAGGGTCGACTAGCTGTCGCCGCGCATAATTCTCCTGCGAGCGTAACGTTATCGGGAGATGCTGATGCCACTATCGACGCTAAAGCCTATTTCGACGGCCAGAAGAAGTTCGCGAGGCTTCTCAAGGTCGACACCGCGTATCATTCTCATCACATGGAGCCGTGTGGCGATCGCTACGTTGAAGCATTGCGAGCATGTGGAGTTCAAGTGCAGCGACCGAAAATCGGCACGAGTTGCAATTGGTTCTCCAGCGTGACAGCCTCTTCTCAAGCAATGCAGGCCGTAGATGCTCTTCGGGATGAATACTGGAGAGACAACATGACAAACGCGGTCCTTTTTGCAGAGGCCATCACAAACGCGGTCACCAACACCCAGCAACTCGACATTGCCATTGAAGTTGGCCCGCACCCGGCTCTCAAAGGCCCTGCCACGCAGAACGTTGCTGAAGTGCAAACCTCTTCTCTTCCATACTGCGGTGTTTTAAGCCGTGGTAAGGACGACAGGGAGGCGTTCACTGATGCCCTTGGCTTTGTATGGACGCGTCTCCCTCACATGGTCGATTTCAAATCATTCGAGAACATCACTTTGGGAGCATCCAAAAAACCTACGATGGTCGTCGGACTCCCAAGTTACCAGTGGAGCCATGGAAGGGCTCACTGGGCCGAGTCGCGTATTTCAAAGAGGATGCGTACACGGAATACGCCACATCACGAGATACTTGGATTCCTTTCCCCCGACTCCAACGCATACGAGATGCGATGGTCAAATGTGCTCAAGCAAAAAGAGATCCCATGGCTCAGTGGCCATCAGCTACAAGGCATGACTGTCTTTCCCGCTGCTGGTTATGTTGCTATGGCTCTTGAAGCATCGAGGGCTCTCGTCGGCGACCAATCTATAGAACTCGTCGAGTTGCATGACCTCAGCATCCCCAGAGCCATCACTTTTGAGGAGAACGATGACTTGGGTGTCGAGACACTTGTCAGTCTCACGGCCATTGACCGCCATTCAGACCAACTATATACCGCCAACTTCGCATGTTACTCTATTCCTGTGCTCGGATTGGGTGCAGACCATGATATGGAACTCTCTGCCAGTGGGACAGTGAAGATCTCTCTCGGCGCCCCTGACATTGCTGCGTTGGTCCGCGTTCCTCACGAAATGTACAACATGGGTTCCGTGGACTCCGATCGCTTTTATTCCACAATCGCAGAACTGGGATACAACTACTCTGGCCAATTCAGGACTCTCTCTTCCGCACAACGAAAGTTGAACCAAGCTTCTGCGCTTGTAGCGTCTTATGTATATGATGAGATGAGCGTATCAGAGTACCTAGTGCACCCAAGTATGTTGGACGTTGCCTTCCAGGCTAGCATTCTTGCATATTCAGCTCCAGGAGATGGACGTCTTTGGTCTTTGTCAGTTCCCACAGCCATTGGAACCATCCGAGTCAACCCAGAAGTATGCGCTGCGCTGCCAACCTCTGGTTCGAGTGTGCCTGTCTACGCAACTATTGATGGCGAGTCCGAGAAGTTCTCTGCAAGTATCGACATCTTCAGCGATGACGGTGAGAACGTAATGATGCAGGTAGAAGATCTCAAGATGCGGCCATTCGCCCCCGCCAACGAAGCCGACGATCGAGTCATGTTTACAAACACTAAATATGGCGTCGCTATGCCTGATGGTGCCACCCTGCAGAGCGATCTCCACCCTAGCGCGTATGATGCGGAAGTCGCTGCTGCTTGTGAGAGATTATCAATCTATTATCTGCATAAATGGAATTCCGAGCTTGCAGAACACTCCAGTGCAGATGGATCAAAATTAGCTTCGCTCTCGGGCTGGCTTCGTCAGGCCCTATCTGTTGCAACTCGTCTGCAGCCATCAGCGATTAAGAACGAATGGACTTTGGAAAGTGCTGAAGACGTAAGAGCCTTGGCGTCAACGTACGCCGACTCCGTGGATCTCAAAATGCTATTAGCTTTTGATGAATCCATGAATGCCATGATCCAGGACATCACCGCACCTCAGGATACGCCCCAGCTTCCAATGGTCCACGACTGGTACCAAGATGGATTGGGATCTTCTGCATACAACTCTCTCCTCGGGGGAACGTTGAAGCAAATTGTGTACAGATACCCACATGCACGCATTCTGGAGTTAGGAGCTGGCAAAGGTGCTACCACTCGATCGGTCCTTCAAGCAATAGGACATACCTGTTCTTCGTACACATTCACGGACGCCTCGCAAGAGAACGTTCGCAACGCTGGCGATTCATTCAGGAGCCACAGTGAGCAGATGGCTTACAAGGTCTTGGACATCAAAAGATCACCGATAGACCAAGGCTTCAAATCTCAGGGTTACGATATTGTCGTTGCATCTCACGTTCCAACAATGGCTGGCTCCATCACGACTACTCTTGAGCATATTCGACAATTGCTAAAACCAGGCGGCTATCTCATTATGAAGGAATTCACGAACCCAAGCTCGATTCGCTCACAGGTTATGGCAGGTGCCCTGCTAGCTCTGGGGTCTGACATCGACGGCGGCTCTGTGCCTCCACCGATCCTATCCCCGGGTGGGTGGCATTCCATCCTGCGCAAAGTCGGCTTCTCAGGGGTGGATGCTCGGACGGCCGAGATTGATAGCATTGCGTGGCCGATGTCCGTCATTGTGTCTCAGGCTGTCGATGAACGTGTTCAGTTTTTGCGGCGTCCGCTGTCTGCACCCTCTCCATCCACTTCTTCTCCATTTGAACTCGAGAGCTTAGTTATCCTCGGTAACGGCACCCCCGAAACAGCTCAGATCGGTGAAGCAATAGCAGGCCATCTTGAGCGTTTCTGCAACAATATCACCGTGCTTGATGAACTACCCTCCGAGGAGGAGTCGATGGATCTCAATCCGATGAGCACATTCCTCAACCTGGTCGATCTCGATTCTCCAGTCTTCCGCAACATGACTGATGAGAAGATGCTTGGTCTCAACCGAATGCTGGAGTTGGCCAAAACCATCGTCTGGGTTACACACGGCGGCCAAGACAGTCCGTACCAAATGGCGAGCATTGCATTTGGTCGTGCAATTAGACAAGAAGCTCTGCACATCAACTTCAACCATATTGATATTTCTGGTCTGCAGCACAACGTCCCTCAAGTTATCGCAGAATATCTTGTGCAGCAGTGTGTCCTCGACGAATGGGAAGCTCCACCTTCAGCGCTTGCGGATGCGCAACACCAGGACTCCGCCTTTCTCTGGTCCAGAGAACCTGAGGTCTTCTTTGACGGTGGACAGCTCAAGGTACCTCGATTGATTCCGCAAAGCAACCAGAATGCGCGATTGAACTCACTAAAGCGCGCCATCACCAAGAAAGTAGCAATACCGGGAAGCAACGTTGGCATTGTCTCGCCTGTGAGCGAGTCCCGGCATTATGTGGTTGAGCAGCCGCATCAGAATCGAGATCATGCATCTGGTGATATCTTCAGAGTTCAGAGCTCTAGCCTGAAGGCGTTGTCCGTTTCTTCAGACACATTCCTGTTCCTGGGTATCGGCCACAATGAAGCAAAGGGAACATGTGTCCTCTTGTCAACCTCAAATTCTTGCGAGGTAGCCCCGTTGGCGATTACAAGTATGCCACAATCACTGCTTGATCAAGATAACAACGCCACCGACGACGAAATTCTAATCGCCGTAGCGAGCGAGCTCCTTGCCGAGGCTTTGACCCGAAAGCTCTCACCGGACGACCACATTATGATTCACTGCTCTGGCGCCGACTGGAGTCTCGCTGAGTCGATTCGCCGACTGGCAACCGACCATTCCATCCGTGTTACTCTCACTCAAGCAGACGACAACAACAGGACTCCGACATCAATCAATATCAATCCGCGAATCTCTAACATGAATCTGAGGAAAATAGTTGCTCGTGTCAGGCCTACCCACTTTTTAGACCTGACAGCGAGTTTTCTGGGAGACCGCATCACCCATGCTTTGAATCCGAACTGCACCATTGTCAGCGCATCCACCCTCTTCCGAAGCAACTTTTCATTACCACCATCGGCGAGCGACACAGAATCGGTCGTGCGCAGCCTCAGGAATTCCGTTCTGAGATCCAGGCCTCTGGGCCATAATTTCCGGCATCTGGTTATTCCCCTCCCAGATGTTCGTTCTCTGGAAGAAGAGTACACATTGAATGTCATCCATTGGCCGTCTGACGAGGTAGTCGAAGCCGAAGTTCATCCCCTGGATAGCCGTCATTTATTCGCCAAGAATAAGACCTACCTTCTCGTCGGCCTTAGTGGTCAGATTGGGCAGTCTCTTTGTGAATGGATGATAGCAAATGGAGCGGGATGTGTGTGCTTGACCAGTCGTCGACCCAAGGTTGATGAGAAGTGGTTGCAATCTTTTGATGGTACTGGCGCGAGTGTCAAGGTGATTTCAATGGACGTCTTGGACCCGACTAGCATCGAGCATGTGGTCAAGGAACTTCGCGAGACGTGCCCTCCAATCGCCGGTGTCGCAAACGGAGCGGTCATTTTCGATGATCAGCTTTTCGCCAACATGCCCGGAGAGTCGATGCGGCGAGTTCTCGCGCCCAAGATCGACGGTTCGATGAACCTCGATCAAGTCTTCCACGATACCAAACTCGACTTCTTCATCTTGTTCTCCTCGGTCGTATGCATATACGGAAATGCAGGTCAGTCAAATTACTCAGCAGCCAACGGGTTTTTGAACGCCCTCGCGAGGCAAAGACGCAAGCGCGGTCTAGCAGCCTCTTCCATCGCCCTTGGAATGGTTGCAGGAATTGGTCATGCTGAGAGTGCAGGTGAAGCTGTACAGGAACAGCTTGTCAAGCGCATCGGCCTTCCTCCAGTTTCAGAGACGGACTTGCGCCAAATCTTTGCTGAGGCTATCATCGCCGGATCTCAACTATCGGAAGACCCAGTGGTGGTAGCTGGCCTCCGCACTATCGGCGATGATGAGGATCTAAGGGGTCCGTGGTTCAGCAACCCTTACTTCTCGCATATGATCCAGGAGAGCCACCGTTCTTCCGATGGTGGAGACGACAAGAAAGCAACTCTTCCCGTCAGCCAATTGCTTGCCAAGAGTGCCACCAAGGGAGAAGCACTTGAGATCTTGCGAGAATCTTTTGCTACCAAACTGGTCGCAATGCTTCAGCTTGGTGACCAAAAGATTGAGCATGATGCTCCTCTCCTCGAGCTTGGCATAGATTCTTTAGTCGCTGTTGAAGTGCGATCATGGTTTCTCAAGGAACTGAAAGTGGACATCCCTGTTCTCAAGGTAGTTGGTGGCGCTTCCCTCAGCGAGTTGTGTGAAAGAGCTCTTGAAAAGCTTCCTTCGTTTGAGAAACAGGATGTCGCTGAGGTTGGAAAAACAACAACAAAAACAGGAGCAAAGGCCTCTGAGGGGAAGCCGGAGGAACCTCCAAAGGCCCAAAGCTCCGACGAAGGGTCGGATTCTGCATCAGCTTCTGATGGTCAGAACCCACCTACCGCCATGACGACACCGCCAGCTTCCATTCCAGATCTTGACTCCAAGGCAATGGACACATCTGCATTGCGCCGGAAGGTTCGTGATCATCGAAAGTTCCTGAAAAGCGAGCGGATTTCACTGCCTCAGTCTCGATTTTGGTTTCTGCGGCACCTTCTAGAGGATCCCACGACTCCGAACGTGGTCATATCTTACCACCTTTCTGGTACTTTACGCATCGGCAATCTTGAAAGAGCTATCCGCCTTGTCACCAACAGGCACGAAGCCCTCCGTACGTGTTTCGTTGAAGACGATACTTCGGCTGGCGAAGCTTATCAAAGCGTCTTGCCTAGCTCTCCATTGCGGCTCGAGCGTAAGAAAATCAATTCCATCAAGGATATTGGACTGGAATTGGCGGCCCTGGGAAGTCATGTGTTTGATCTCGAGCACGGCGACGTGATGAAGCTTATTCTGCTGACACTATCGTCGTCATCCCATTACCTATTGATCAATTACCACCACATTGTCATGGATGGGGCCAGCTGGAATGTGTTCTTCTCGGACCTGGAGAAGGCATACATGGGCCAGTCCCTTGGGCCGTCCCCTCAACAATATCCGGAATTCTCAGTCGCACAACGGCGGGCTATCGACAACGGCGAAATGCTTGACGAGCTGAAATATTGGAAGACGATTTTCCCAGCAGACGATCCCCCTCCCGTCCTTCCTCTTCTTCCGATGGCAAGGACTAGCTCTAGAGTGGCCATGGAAGGCTTCGACACTCATCAGGTCTCGTGTCACCTCGAACCAGTTCTGATTGACAGAATTAAGGCCGTCGCTAAAGCGCAACGATCAACCCCGTTCCATCTTCATTTAGCCGCGTTTAAAGCTATGCTTTTCCTCCTCGCCGGCGAAGACACGCAAGATTTGACGATCGGGTTTGCCGACGCGGCACGAAATGACAGCGGTGTGGAAAAGAGCATTGGATTCTTTCTGAATCTGCTTACGCTACGTTTCCGTCGTAATCCAACACAGAGTTTTGCCGAGGCTATTGGTGAGGCTCGCAATACCGCCTACGCTGCTCTTGAGAGCTCGCGCTTACCGTTCGATGTGTTGTTGAGTGAGCTGAACGTTGCACGCTCTTCACTTCACAGTCCGTTCTTCCAAGCATTCCTTGACTATCGGCAAGGTGTACAAGAACGACATCCATGGGGCAACTGTCAAGCTGAACTCCAAGAAGTTCGTCCGGGAAGGACCGCTTACGACATTACGTTGGATGTCACCGACTCGAACACGGATTCTCTAATCGTGTTCCGTCTACAGAAGAGCCTTTACGATCTCACCGCTGCTAACCTTCTTCTGGAGACTTATGTTCATTTCCTTGACACCATCACCAGCCGACCCTCCCTTTCGCTGGTGGACACCCCGTTATTCAGCCAAACACAGCTCGGACAGAGTACGCAAATTGGTCGTGGGCGCAATCTACAGTCGGATTGGCCAGCCACACTCCCACATCGCATTCATGAGGTTGCAATGGAGAACCAAGACCGTGTAGCTCTGATGGATGGCACAGGTCAGGAGTTGACGTACAAAGACATGGACAGCCGAATCGATGCCATCAGCGAAGCACTTCAGCATGCTGGTCTCGGGAAGGGTTCCAGAGTCCTTGTCTATCAACAGCCTGCAGCCGATTGGACATGCTCAATGCTTGCCATCATGCGTATCGGTGCTGTCTACATACCCTTGAATCTTCGCGAACCTCTTACTCGCCTGGCGGCGGTTGCCAAAGATTGCGAGCCTAGAGCAATCCTCGCCGACAAAACGACAATCGAGGAGGCCCCAGGCCTACGTACAGATAGCCTTTGCGCTGTGATCAACGTCTCAGATTTACCACTCAAAACTTCAGTTACTGTTCCGATCGTAGCGGAGCCGGATTCCGTGGCTGCCATTCTTTACACTAGCGGATCCACGGGTACGCCCAAAGGCATCAGTGTGACGCATGCTGGGCTTCGCAACGAGATTGAGGGATACACAAAGACATGGGGTCTGGGTGCCGAGCGAGCTCTCCAACAGAGTGCGTTCACCTTTAACCACTCCTCGGATCAAATGTACACCGGTCTCGTTAATGGTGGCATGGTGTACATTGTTCCAGCCGAAAAGCGTGGCGATCCTATCGAAATTGCCAAGATCATCCAGGAGCATCATATCACCTATACCAAAGCGACCCCCTCGGAGTACTCGATGTGGATACAATTCGGCGGTGAACCTCTCCGGCTTGCCTCGAGCTGGCGATTTGCGTTTGGAGGTGGCGAAACCCTGACTACAATCGTCACTGATGAGTTTGCCAGCCTCAGCCTACCGCATTTGCGCTTCTTCAACTCTTACGGTCCAACTGAGATTTCTATCTCGTCTCACAAGATCGAGATTCCTTACCGAGAGAAGGAGTTAGTGAAGCAGATGGGACGCATACCATGCGGCTACTCGCTCCCTAATTACTACACTTACATTCTTGATGAGCAGCTCCAGCCAGTTCCAGTGGGCATGCCTGGTGAAATCTACTTGGGAGGTGCCGGCGTCTCCCTTGGCTATCTCAACAACACGGAACTGACTAATAAACATTTCGTTCCTAACCCATTTGTAACGGCAGAAGATGTGGCTCACGGTTGGACGCGTATGTATCGCACCGGAGACATCGGTCACCTACAAGCCGATGGCGCCATGGTCTTCCACAGTCGCATGGCTGGTGATTCGCAAGTCAAAATTCGCGGCCTTCGCATCGAGCTTAGCGACATCGAAAGTAACCTCATAACGACTGCGCAAGGCTCCCTGAGAGAAGCAGTTGTCACGCTTCGCGAAGGCGATCCATCTTTCCTAGTCGCACACGTCGTCTTTTCACAGCAACACAATGTACCCGACAAGGAAGATTTTCTCCAGAATCTTCTCAGACGATTGCCCATACCTCAATACATGATCCCGACCATGGCTATATCTCTTCCAAAGTTCCCTCTCAACAATCACTCCAAGGTTGACCGAAAGGCTGTTCAGAACATGCCACTTCCCGAGCGGACAGGCGGATCGAAGACTGCTGTCGAAATGACTGAGACAATGGTACAGTTGGAACGCATATGGAGGGACGTGATTGGTGCCAACTCCGACAAGCTCGATATGGACCCCTCAACCAACTTTTTCCTTGTGGGTGGGAACTCCCTTCTTGTCATTCGCCTCCAAGCCCGCATCCGAGAGATCTTCCAAGTCGTCATTCCGCTCTTCAAACTCATGGGTGCCAGCACGCTGGCTGATATGGCGCGGAACATCGAGCAAAGCTCGGGTGTCAGTCACATTGACTGGGAGAAGGAGACGATCCCGCCTAGTATCCCCAGTTTCCTTCAATCACTTCCGGTAAAAGCCACAACGCCATCCCTGACAATCATGTTAACTGGCGCCACCGGCTTCCTTGGCAAATACATCCTCCCACAGCTCGCTTCTCGGGGAGACGTGCAGATGATACACTGCGTTGCCGTCCGCGACAAGCCACGACAAGGGGAACTTTTCACCGCCCCCAACGTTACGTACCATGTAGGCGACCTGTCGTCTCCCATGCTAGGGCTTAGTGTGGACGAGTTCCGCCGCCTATCAAGCGAGGTCGATGTGGTGCTTCACATGGGGGCTGTACGTTCTTTCTGGGATAATTACCACGTCCTCCGACCCAGCAATGTTGAGTCACTGAAAGAAGTCGTCAAGCTGGCAGCCCCTCGCCACGTCCCTATTCATTACATTTCAACGGTCGGCGTGCTGCCTGCAGACGAAGAACCCACACGACAAAATGCCGGTACAGCTGCTGCTTATCTACCTTCAAGAGAAGGTAGCGATGGATATGTTGCCTCCAAGTGGGCTGGGGAACGCATTCTCGAGCGTTCTGTAGAAACGCTTGGGGTGCCCTCTCGGATCTACAGGTTCCTTCCAGCGGCGGGGCAAGATGATACGCAGAAACAGAATTTGATGGACTTGTTCATCAGGATGGTTGACGCTCTAGGCGTAATACCCGACATGGGTGTCTGGAACGGTCGAGTAGACATGATTCCTGCGGAACAGATTGCGCATTGGTTAGGAGAGTCGACGATGGCTGTCACCGTCTCTGTTTCTGATAAAGGATCGGATCCTTCGGCTCAATTCCTTCATTATGAAAGTACTATCAGCTTTCATACTGACGAGCTCAACGAGTACATTGGACGGAAGAGGGGAGATCAGGCAGATCTCAAGAGGATGCCATTCCTTTCGTGGCTGGGACGATGCAAGGCAATTGGTTTCAATTATCTTATCGCATCGCAGCAGGCGACTGTTACGGATGGTGAGCGTGGTGTTGCGTATATTTCGAGGAGATGAGCATCGTCAGCGCGTAGTCTTGATTCGTTTTCTTATGGCTGTGGGATTGTTTTCTATTTAGATTGAGAACGTGGTGGTAGTCTCTCCATATCCTGTTGTTTATAATGTATCCCTTTTCCGTATGCATCTTATCATAGACCCAAGTTTGCCTCCTTCGCATCAGTCTATTTTCGGATTGGAATTTGAATACATCGAATGCGTGAACGATGACCGGAGATGCTCGAAGTCCAGCGAAGACCCTCCGCCAGACCTTGAACAACAACACCTCGCACAATCCCCATGATAGCATAGGCCAGAGTGACATTGACATGCAGCTTGACGTGATGCAGCCATCATTCACTTGGCAGCAAGCGTTTACAAAGAGCAACTGAGAGTGCTCGCCCTTTGTGCTTCGTTCGCTAAGTGGCCTGTACATTCTGTCCCGCCCGCGCGCACCTTCCGGGATTGCTCAAACGGTCCGTGCTTTCACAAACAGTCCACGCTCGGTCTATATAAACACAGCAGATCGTGCTGAAGACTTCATAACCACCTTTCATAACTTCACAACTGTCTTCAGTCTCGCACCTTACATCATGTCTGCGAACGGTATCAAGATCGCTTTTGGAGGCGCCACTTGGCTCTTCACCCCGGTTGACGAGGTCACTGAATGGCTCACTTTCCTCAAGAAGTCAGGTATTGAAACCATCGACACCGCCCAGGTGTATGGCAGCTCCGAAGAGACAATGGGCAAGGCCGGGGCCGCATCCAGCTTCACCATCGACACCAAGGCACCCGGGGGGCTCAACGAGCAGCCCTGCACCAAGGATGTTATCATCGATGCCGGTAAGAAGAGCCTCGAGAAGCTCAAGACTAACAGTGTAAGTTTCACATGTGCTATGACGTATCTGTCTTGTTTTGCCTGACGATGCTCAGGTCGACGTCTTTTATATGCACGCTCCTGACCGCCGACTCCCCGTCAAAGAAACTCTTAGCGGACTCAATGAGCTGTACAAGCAAGGTGCATTCAAACGTCTTGGCCTATCCCAATATCTCGGAGAAGAAGTGGAGGAAATTATTCGCGTTGCGAAGGAGAACAACTTCGTGGTCCCCTCGGTCTACCAAGGAAACTACAGTGCAATTGCACGTCGTGCAGAAGCGGAAATTTTTCCAATAATTCGCAAGCACAACATGGCCTTCTACGCTTACAGCCCTATCGCCGGTGGTTTCTTAGCCAAATCCAAAGCTGCACTCACCGAGTCCAACGGCCGATTCGGTGAAGGTCAGCCCTTGGCGCAGGTGTACAACGGCATGTACAATCGACCAAGCTTTGTGGCGGCACTCGATGTCTGGGAGCAGATTGCAAAAGAGGAAAACACGACTAGGGCGGAGCTCGCCTACCGTTGGATTGCATACCATTCTAAATTGGCGGGGGACCAAGGCGACGCCATCGTCGTGGGTGCAAGGAACATGCAGCAGTTCGAAGAGACTATGCAGGCACTGAAGGGCGGCCCATTGAGCGATGCGGCTGTGGCAAAGATCGACCAAGTCTGGGAGAGCGTCAAGGCCGACGCATTCCTAGACAACTATGAGATGCTGAGTCGGTGATTTCCCCGCACTTTGATTGGAGGACGTCGGCAGACAGATTACTAGTGGATACGATGGGATCATCGTTAGCCCGATCATCAACTATAAGGATTGTTCCGTGGATGCTCTTACGGACTTAGAAGGAAGCACGGACTCAAGTGTCAACCAATCAAGTATCAAATTCTCCTCATGCAATAATTCGAGCCAAATATGCTGCCTGTTTGGTCTTGACCAGATAACAGAGTGCCCATAGCGTGCATAAATCGCCGACAATATATATCGTTTTCCCATCATTGGTGGTGCGGTTGCAGCAAGCGTGACTCAGTAGGGTCAATCTATGCGCCGAGCTCAAGCTGCATGCTTTATTACACCTTCTGCACACTGCCGGAAAAGCTCCGCCCCTCCTGCGCTTCTCTTGTTTCCGACGACCTGGTTGCCTCCACCTAGGACCTGCGAGTGCTGCCCATCTAGTATCTCGTCAATCAGCTACCCTATCATCTCTTTGAAAAGGTCGCATGCATATGCACGATACTACCGGATGAACATGGTTATCAATATGCTTTCTTTCCTTATCCTCGCCAGCGTTGTCGCAGCACAGAGCGACGTTGCTTTCGACTACGTAATAGCTGGAGCGGGCACGGCGGGTCTTGTTCTTGCGAATCGACTATCCGCGAACCCAAGCGTCAGCGTTGCAGTGATCGAGCCTGGAGACGATGTGCGCGCCGATGCTGATGTCCAGACCGTCGACTTTCTGTTCTCAAAGTTCAACGCATCAATCAACTACCAGTATCCATCTGTTACCTCGCCAGCTCTGGGCTCGCGTAACTTGACTTATCGCGCCGGGAAGGCGTGGGGTGGGACAAGTACTGTCAATGGTACGTTGGTTCGGCGCTCCGTCGGTGGGAGATATTGACGTTGCTTTAGGCATGGTATACATTCGCGGTGACAAAGCACAATACGACGCTTGGGAGGAGCTCGGAAACCGGGGTTGGAACTGGAATACGTTGTTCGCTTCGTACAAAAAAGGCGAGCATTTTACTGTGCCGACACAAGCGCAGGTTGCCAGTGGTGTGACTTTCGATGAAACTTTCCACGGCGAGACTGGGCCTCTGGATATTGGCTTTCCGTTCTCGTTGTCGAACAGTTCGTACTATGCCAAGGCTCGCGCCACATGGGACAAGTTGGGCGTGCAGTCGATTGTTGACCTGAACGGCGGAACTCCACATGGTTTTGTCACAGCCCCGATGACCTTGGACCCGCAGGCTGCTGTGCGCGAGGATTCCGCTCGTGCGTACTATACCCCTGCAGAATCTAGGAAGAATCTCAAGATCATAAAGGGTACGGTCAAGAGGATCACATGGGGAAAAGACGCTGGGATACTAGCTGTAGCTGATGGCTTTGAATACGTAAGCCCATCAGGTACATTGCTGAAGGTCAGGGCCAAGAAGGAGGTGATCCTGTCTGCGAGCGCTTACAGAAATCCTTTGATATTAGAGGGCTCGGGGATAGGGAACCCAAAGTAAGTTGGTGGGGATGCATTGGATGCATTGAATCGTTCCTGACTGTAAGCTACAGGATTCTCAACAAGCTCGGCATTCAGATCAAGGTGAAGTTGCCAGGTGTTGGCGAATCTTTGCAGGATCACAACATCGTTGCCATGACTTACTCTCTCAAAGAGAAGTTCCTCGGTCGGATTCCCTACGCAACAATGCCCACGGTGCATGATGTGTTTGGGAACAACACCGCGTCCATTGCGTCTTCTTCCCTTGAAAAGATCAAAGAGTACGCTGAGCAACTCTCAACAACCTTCGACAAGGCCATTCCTGCCAACGCAATCGAGAAACGCTTCCGTGTACAACACGATCTGATCTTCAAAAAGAACGTGACAGTAGCGGAACTCTTCCCTACGAACACCGGAGACGCTATTCTTGCGCAATTCTGGACTTCGATGCCATTTTCGTGGGGTAATGTTCATCTTGGCTCGAAAGACGCTATCAACGATCCAGTCATTGTTCCGAATATTATGGCGACTGATTTCGATCTCGACATGCTGACTGCAGTGGGGCGCCTTTCGCAGAAGGCCTTTGCGACAGCCCCTCTAAGCGACTTTATTGCTGACAACTTAACGCCGGGGTATGCGACATTGCCGCTCAACGCGTCAGGTGATCAATGGGCGAGCTTTCTTCAAAAAAATGTCCTGAACGCTTTGCATGTGGTGGGCTCATGCGCCATGTTACCTGTTGAATTGGGTGGTGTTGTAGACGAGAAGGTCAAGGTCCATGGAACAAGGAACGTCCGGGTCGTCGATGCATCGGTTATTCCAAGCCAGCTGAGTGGTCACACAATGGCGCCGGTGTATGGTGTCGCGGAGATGGCTGCTGCGATTATCTTGGGAGGGAAGTAGCGGCGTGAGGTTATATGGATCACGTGTTGATAAGCCGGCTCAGCTGAAGGACATCTAATGGTGGGCAGGCTGCATGCAGCCGTGTGACGTAGCATACTCATAGGTGGATACTCGAATCGAATATGAGCGCAGCTATGTCATGCCACCTCTTCATCCATTTCCGGTGGCAGGAATACGCACGAGTGTTCTCGTTTTCGCGTGTCTTACCCTTGATGGGGGATAGAAGGTTTTGCGTTTCCGCACCTCGGATAGAGAAGTGGCGCTCGGTTGGTGTGGCAATTGTTGAAGCGCGCAGCCTCGCCAGGTCCTGCTGGTCCACGCTCCTCCCGTCTCAATTGTTTCGACGTGATCCAGGTATCAGCCTAATCAGATTCGTGTCAGTTGAATCGGGTTTAGAGCTATTAAGATGCCGGAGCTATGAACCACACGCGCAGAGGTTCGAGCACTGCATCCCACATCCCACATCCCACTTCTTCATCCTCGCCGGTCAGCGCTGCATCCGCTGCAGCCCCTGCATCGCGGCCAGAAGTCCGGTCCGATTATAGGCCCGGCAGCCACGCACGCCATAATCTTGCCTCGCGCCGTTACAGCGAACGCAGCGACGTTTCATACAAGGATCTACAACCGTCGTCACAATAAGGCCCTTATGTGTAGGTTTGACTCGCCGAAATGTCTTGGCTTATTTACGCCTACACGAGCACCTTCCCAACACGCGTAGACACGGGAAAGCAATTACCAGCTTCGCTGTGGACTACTCTGAACAGTTTTCATCTGGAGATACACCCGGACTAGTATGATCGCAAGTACCCTGGCCTACTCTTGACGAATCCAATCTGCAGGCAGTCTTACTGTGCTTTAACATCGCCAGGAGTGGGTACTTATCTCCTCCATGGGGCAATACCTATCTTTCTTGAATGCGTTTATATAATCTTGCCTTGCTGCACTGTCCCTTGGACTCATCCGAGAACTATCTCCTGCGGCCCACGTGCTGGATTTGCTGTTACCAGCAGTCACTAATTGGCATTTACTCTTAGCGCAACGTTGTTCTAGTATATTAGCCCGCCTAGTCGGACCTCAACAATACCATGATACCAAGGTCGAATACTGCGGCGGCAGCACCACCTCAGCGACAATCATGCGACCGTTGTCACAGACAGAAGCTGCGATGTATACGGAACAAGGATAACAGCAATGTTTGCGATCGATGTCTTTCAAAAGGCGCCCAGTGTGTATTCAGCTCTTCTCTGCCCAAGGGACGTCCAAGTTCAAACGCAAGATCGGTCCGTCGCCTCACCATGGAGACGAGAACGAACGGTCTTCCTGAGACTAGTGCGCCTGAAGTTGCACAGCAGATTCTGACAACCGATCCATCTTGTAAGTTTTTTTCCGTGCCTCATAAGCACGTGGCACAACCACTAACCTGGCCACACCAGCTTCCGAGAGAACGGCACCGAAGATCCTCCCCCAACCAATGCAAAATCAGATAGACTACTCCCTGTCTACCTGGCCGTGGATAGGTGCCACAGCCTGGGAAGAGGCGCAATCTGATATGACATGGGATGGACTGGAATTCAGCGTCTCCGACGTCGACGATCTCCTGGCGAGCGCGAACGCTTGGGGAAGTGATACTAGTGGGGCGGAGGACTTGACCTCTTTCTCACCACTTAGATCGCCATCCGTGCCGAGCCCACCGAATTTTCACGACCATAACATTGGAAAGACAAGGCCCGGAAACTACGAGAGACCGCATGTTGGGAGTGGCAACGGTATGCAAAAGAGCATGGCTGCAAACTCCACAAGCAATTTTCCGGACAAGAGCCCGAGTATAGTAATAGGTCAACTCTCTCAACTCAGCGTACAATTGTCGAATTTGCGCGCCTCGAGCCATATTCTAGCGCAGGCCGCAGACTTTTCATTTGGTAGAGGGCCTAACGAAGGACAATCTTCGCTCATCGACTCCGCCGCTTTCGAATCGGTTGTCGCTTGGCTGCCGCCCGAAGAGAGCGCCGGTACATTAGATCCGCAACGCTCCAACGTCTCCGCTGATGGTCCTAACCTTCAGTCAAGCATCACACCGCAGATAGGTACTCCAAATGGCCCTGGTCTTCTACGAGATGTATTTTCGGCCTCACATCGCTTGATGCAGATTACACAAAATCTAAAAGCAGACGATATCACACGGCATCTTGTAATGGCATGCGAGGCCTTACTGCTAGAGATCTATGCCGCAATTTTGACGGCTCTCCAGCACGAGGCATACCCAGGCGATACAGCCAGTGCAACGGCACTCGGCAATGTTCGGCTTGTGCTTGTGGTCCAGCTCTGTGCTTATCTGGTCGAACGACAACACCAGGCTGTATGGCAATGTCTCAATCCAACCAACATTCAAAACCATAACCTCCCCAGTCCCATCCAACCGGGAAATGTCGAGACGGATTGCCTCAAGGACTTGAAGGCTCAGGTGCAGCAGAAACTTGCGCGATTGCGGCAGATGCTGCGATGCAGCTGAAACAATGCCGCGATCGTCCGTCGTCAGTGCTGTAGAAGGCATACAGTCTAGAATGTGTTATCTTCTTCATTAGAGTCATTTAGAAAAGAATTCTTTTGATGCGCCGACCTAGAGCCGAATCACCCTGCATTTGCTAGTTCGGCGAACCGCGGCCATGCACCTACTACGTAAGAATACCGCCATTCGGCTCACGTTGCAGTCGAGCGCATGAACGGAATCTGACACGGCAGTGTACTTGCGTGGTACGAACACCGTTTGTGGCTTGCATTGCCGAGAGGCAAAAGAACGGAATCTGACAAAACGGCGTGTCCGCTCGTATTCTCACGCATGCACCCTACTCGTTTGATCCTAGTGGAGAGAGCAGGGATCATCTAGAGAGCCGCAAGCACAAGATCTGCACTCTGTAGGACAGCAGTCTCAGCTTACGCAGGTGGCTGCGTGGGGTTCTCGAGGGTCAGCGGTCAAGGGTCAGCGGTCAAGGGTCAGCGGCCCGAACGCACGATCAGCCGCCTGCAAGCCAGGAGCTTCCTCGCGGGTCCATCCGTCGTGATGGAAGCGGGCCGGCACATCCATGCGTAACCGGCACGCCAACCGACGGTGAGAAAAAGTCGCACCGAGGGAAATAGCCTCAAACCACGTGGAATTGGTATGGGTCGCACGGGGCACAACGTCTCGGTACTGCTCAGCTCATGAGCGCATTTTCGGTCGCAAAACGGGTCCTTGCAGTCAGGGAACATACAGCCAGCTGACGACGCGTGCAAGCTTGACGTTAGTGTCAGAAACCTTGTTGTCACTCAAAGAGCCCAGGCGTGTGCACAGACTCGTAAACCTCGTACCGACAGTGATTACCAAGAGCCGGGCGGTACAAAATGTAACTCTTCGCTTCGCACGGGTGCGTCCGCCTTCCTATCAGCCCCATGCCAGCCGCAATGACGTATGAATGGGGAAGCTCACGCGACGATCGCGGACCTACCTCGTTCTCTCGCAACCAAGTCTCGGTGAGCCCTGGACAGAAAGCATACGCCTGCAGGGCACCTGTCGCGAATCTGCACATTTGGCTCGCAAGGGAAAACGTCCGCCAGTTCGGCGAACCTTCTGCATAGCGCGCAAGTTCTCAGCAAGGAACCTTGGAAAGTATTTTATTGCTTTTCACTGACCATTGTTCTCGCGCGAAATCGGCCCGATGAGAACAAAAATGACTATGCTATCATCCAGTGGCGGCAAGCACCACGGGTTCGATCGCGAGCCGCTTCATGCCAGATGTGAAGTGCTCGCCGGTCTCAGATCGCTTCTTCGCATCCTGATACGAGCTTCTGGACCGCCGCACCGCCGCCGTACCCCGCTGCAGCATCTCGTCATGATACTCCGCAACGCCGGCTTTCACTGCGTTGATATCCTTGAACTTGTCTTCCGTCCGAAGTTCTGCCAGCATCCTGGACAGCTTCATGGCGTCGATAAAGGCTTGGAATGCACCTTCGCCTCGGGAAGGAGTCATTGCGTGCGCTGCATCTCCCAGTAGAGCTACGCGGCCGGTAGGCAAGGATTCGAGTTCGAGGTCGCGCCAAATGTGCGGTTCTTTCCTCACTCCTTCTACAGGCGTCAGCTCGAATACCTCCCGGAGACTGGGAGGAAGCCCGGCAGCCGTTTTCCTGACGTGATCAAGTTTTTCCTGCGCACTTGACGTCTGCAGCCAATGTGTGGCATCCGTGATCTCGATGTCTGCCGTATCCGGCTGCATGAACATCCAGTATAAGCGGCCACCCTGTCCGTCGGGAAACACGTAGTGGACGCCGACAAAACCGATGAAGCCCAATTCCGGGTTGATGAGATTGTATGCGCAATGGCCCAACTCGAGCTGGCGTTTGAAGGCATCTCCCGTCAAATCTAATTCGCCTACAATCGCCATAAGTGGCACAACGTGCAGAAGATCGCTACTCGGCCTTTTGAGTAGGTGCTGCCGAGCTGGATTTGAAATCAGTATCCTAGGCAAAGAAGGACACAAACTACACTCACTAGGACTGTGCACACCATCAGCGCCTACTACGATGTCGCCTCGAGCGCTAGACCCGTCTTTGAAACGCACAGTTACTCCCTCGTCGTCTTGCTCAATATCCGTCAAGCTTTTGCTCCATTGAACAGGGATATTGGTCAAGAGCCATTTGCGGAGGCGTGATCGCTCAGCTCGGATGAACGGTTGATCGGGGGAATCCTGATCTGCGTGTCAATCACGCCACTCGGAACGCCACAAGATGCTGTAAGGAGAAGCTCCTTACCTCCAATCCAAAGCATCCTTCTCTCCCGCCATAGTAGTATGCGAATTGGTGGCGCAGATCGAGGGGAGCAAGATGGTTGGTCGATTCTCGCAGGTCTGGCATATCAGGTGGAAGCGCGGACAAGAACTCCTCGACAATACTGTGGCTACGTCAGCTCAGATCCTCTAATGCGGAGCGCGAACATTTCGAAAGATTGAACACTAACGTGTGAAGCGCGATTGCCCACCCCTGGAATCGACCATTCTCGTCTTCATCGCGCTCGAAGACTTCGTACGAAATACCCTGCTTTCGCAGCGTTTGGGCGAGCGTGAGACCCCCAAGACCTGCTCCAATAATAAGGATATGCATTTCGAGGATTCTTTAGTTCCTGATTCGTGGTATCGTCGATGCAAACAGCGTAAATCCTACTCGAGAGATGCGATACACTGAACTAGGAAGCGCCACTCCCAGCACATCCATATTTATACATGTACATATATATATATATATATATATATTCTACCCCTCCCCAAACTAAGGTTGTATTTGACACTTGTTAGGTACGCAAATTTCCTTCTAGGCGCCTGGTCATCGTCTTGGCCCTGCGCCGCGTATCGATTGCGCATACATTCCTACCATAGCCAGCCCCAGATGAAAACCGCCAAGAGAGGAAGTCGCACATGTGATATTCGATCTAGGCGCTTATGCCAATACCGACCCAATGGGTTCTTCGGGCTTTAATACTGTCCGGTGCGGATCGCCCGATCCGCCATATTCCCAACGAATAGGTGACAGCAAAACCCGCCGAAATGCTCTCTCATGTTAACACTGATCTCATGAGAGACTCGGCGAGTAGTTCAAACACGTGCGGTACGTTTGAAACCACGTCGGTGCAAATCCCAGGTCATTGGAGATGTTGTTCGATCTATATGGGCAAGACTAGATGGAGTTTAACGACTTGATTAGCTCGATAATTTGCAGCCACAGCTTCCTATCATCTTGTTTTCACCCTAGTAGACGTAAACATGGCAGTTCAAGAAATACAGCTCCCTCTGATCGACCTTAGCGGATACATTGATCCTAAATCTCCTGGAGATCGCGAGCGCGTTATTGCTGAGGTCCGCGATGCGTGCGCGAAGTTCGGGTTCTTCCAAACCAAGGGCCATGGTATCTCGCTGGATCTCCAGAAAGGCTTGCTCAACAGCATCGATACGCTGTTCAATCTACCCAAGGAAGAGAAGCGCAGCCTCTCATTTCTGCAGAATGTATCTCGCCGCGGCTACGAAGAGTCGGGCATGTCCCTTCGAGATGGCGATAAGCTCCCAGATTCAAAAGAAGTCAGTCCTACTCCGTGACCGTCGAGACTTGATCGAACGACCGTCATCTCACGTCCAGAATTTCCATGCTAATCGATATGGATAGGCTTTCTATATTGGCCGCGAAGACCCCGTAGTCGAGCACGCCGGCTTTTACGGTCCCAACGTCTGGCCACCCCTGCCAGAGGACCAGTTTCGCACCCCAGTCTGGAATTACTACCAAGCAACTCATAACCTCGGATCCATCATCTGGGAGATCCTCCTTCAAGGCCTTGGACACCCCATCTCCGTGATGGAGTCCTTTGCTAAGAAGCCCATGGTCATGATGAAGATGATACGCTACCCGCCTCTCGCCGCCACACTCCCAGGCCAATTCGGTGTTGGCGCACATACCGACTTCGGCGGCGTGACGGTGCTTCTACAGCAACCTGACAAGCATGGCCTCGAGGTATGGCTCGACGACAAAGAGGACTGGGTCCCCGTGAAAGCTGTCGAGGATGTATATGTCATCAACTGTGGCGACATGATCATGAAATGGAGCGGTGGAGCGTACAAGAGCGCGAAGCATCGTGTCATCAACAAGGCGGATAATGAGAGTCGATTGAGTTGCGCGACTTTTTTCCACGGTGATGTGTTTGCCACGAATCCGTTGAATCCGGATGATCCGGTTAAGGAAACAGTGGGACAGCTGCTGATCAAGAGGTTTGGCAATCAGTTCAGTCTCAGTGATGAGTGGAAGAGGGAGGTTAAAGCCGCAGCTTGAGGTGTAGTGTGTTTTTGAGAATACATCTCCATCGTTCAAATTGAAAACTCTGCATCCCTTTTCATGGTGTACTTCTGCCTTCATGAATGTCGACCATGTATTCTTGCACGTAGAATAAAGTCCTGAGATCTAACTTAAGGGACTATTTTTGACAGAGCTGCACGAGTAGCTTCCTGTGATTTCTCTGCATGATAAGCGATAGACGTTCTTCATGCAGATGTGATCATGAATGTGGTGATAGGAAGATTTTCCCCTTTCTGCTCGATTTCTGCTGGCCTAGCCATCAGCGTTGGCCTTTCCTGTAAAACCGTAGCGGGAAAAAATTTCTATCGGACAATATTACGGGAAAACCTCCTCAACTGAGATCAAGCGGTAGTATGAACGGCACACATGCCCATTTCCCCGCAAATCTCACTCCTATGAAAATAGCCGAGTGTGGCGCAAAATAAAAATCGCCGAAGTGGCGAGCTCGTACATTCGGTGTCCCCTAGTCTGATCGTCTCGTGCAATTTTTACCCAATCATGTAGTGCAGATCACTGATACTCATTTCGGGTTTTCATCCTGATTCGCCATAAATGCGAACTTGATCCTAGTTGGTCTTTACTTCCACTCCCACTTGGCTGAGGTAGTGTTACACAGCCTGTGTGACCGATCGTTTTGCAGTCAACCCAGCTTCACTACCTCTTATTCGTCTTTAATTTATTACACCTGTCCAACATGAAACATCTCGCTCTAACAGCGAGCCTCTGCTTCCTCCTAGGTTTAGCAAGCGGCGCTGCGCATCCGACCCCCAAGCCAGATTGCAAATGCTTCCCGGGAGACACATGTTGGCCTACAGAAAGCGAATGGAGCTTCTTCAACAAGACGGTAAATGGCCGTCTCATTAAAACGGTTCCTCTAGGATCTCCTTGCCATGATCCCACGTACGATGCAGCCAAATGTGAGGATTTAAAGAAGGAGTGGAAACTCGCACCCGTCCAGTGAGTTTCGAATCTCTTACATTCCCCGTAAGACATAGAAGTGCATTTCGATCAATCCTTCTAACACTGAACACCTGTAGTCTTGATGATCCTTCCTCTGTCCAGGCTGCTATCTTCGCCAATGCTTCCTGCGACGTCTTCACCCCACGCAATACCCCCTGCCGCTTAGGCACCTACGTCCGGTATGCGGTGAACGTCTCTTCTCCATCCGAAATCGCATCCACACTCCGCTTCGCACAAACACGCAACATTCGCCTCGTAATTCGCAATACGGGCCATGACTATATGGGCCGTTCAACCGGCGCAGGATCGCTATCCGTGTGGACGCACAATCTCAAAGGCGTGGAGATCACGGACTGGCAAAGCGCGGAATACGCAGGAAAGGCTGTAAAAATCGCGGCGGGCGCGCTGGGGGTTGAGGCTCTGGAGGAAACGTCCAAGCATGGCCTTGTGGTCGTGTCGGGCGAGTGTCCGACTGTGGGTATTGCTGGGGGATACACTCAAGGGGGTGGACACTCTCCTCTCAGTACAGCATTTGGCCTATCGGCGGATAATACGCTGGAATTCGAGGTGGTAAATGCCAAGGGTAAACTAATCCGCGCAAGTCCTACATCGCTAGACCCGGAAAGTAGGGACCTGTTCTTTGCGTTGAGTGGGGGCGGAGCGGGCAATTTCGGTGTCGTGGTGAGCGTGACCTTGCGCGCCCACCCGGACCGTGTAACAAGCGGCGCGTCATTTACAATCCAAAGAGAAGACGGAATCGACATCGCGGCTGTGTTGGAAAAGTGGCATGAGGTCTTGCCTGGCATCATTGAGGCAGGGACTCAGGCAACGTACCTTGCGACAACCGAATACGCCACCCTGCATTCGCTCAGCGGCTTCAACTTAACGCAAGCGGAGCTCGAAAAGACGCTGCAGCCATTCCTGGAGCATATGGCGGACATGGGGGTCGCGTTGAAACCGAACTACACCGAGTTCGCCACGTATCACGATCACTATCTTCATTATTTCGGCCCACTCCCGGAGGGTGCTTTTGGCGGCGCAGGAAACCAGTTGATGGGTGGACGACTCCTTCTCCGCGACGCATTGCCCAAAGTTGGTTCAGCTATCAATGCTACGATGCAGCTCGGCGTGCAATTTATCGGCCAGGCCCTGAACGTCACACGCTTTGCCCGGCCTTCGGTCCGTGCCGTGCTCCCACAGTGGCGCAACGCAGTCGTCATGTCTGCATACTCGATGCCTTATTCCGATATCGTGCCTTTCGCAGAGATGGAGGCGCGGCAGGACTTCATCACGCAGACAGTAATGCCTATCGTAGAAGCCGTAACGCCGAATGCTGGAGCATATATCAATGAGGCGGATTATCAGCAGGAGGATTGGCAGGACGTGTTCTACGGCGATAACTATCCAAGGCTGTCGACAATCAAGAAGAGGCTTGATCCACAGGGATTGTTTTATAACGAGATTGCTGTGGGGAGTGAAAGGTGGAAGGTTAGGAGCGATGGGCGGCTTTGTAGGGCTGAGTAATGTTTTGACTGTTAATTAAACTCTTGGTGAATCTGGCACTCATAATTAAGAAGCAAAATTACTTTGCTTTTCCATTTTCATGACATTTTCTGTCAGACAAAAAGTCCTTGAAAATACTCACGAAGTGCAATGGATAGCAATTGGTAAATGTATGCTGAAAGACTGCCATCTATGTTCTGGGCACTCTCGACGACTTCCGAGGGCGTGAAACGACAAAGGCGGTAGTCTGAAATGTGCGGACTAGTTCTGAAAACTACGCACCTCTAACAATAGGACACATCTGTCGTTCGCCCAGTCCATCGCTTCTAATACTAATACTAACACTTTGGAATGAGACTTCAGGCCACAGACAGTATATTCAAGAATTATTGACGATTTATGAGAATGATTTTAGGGCAGAATCAGATCTGGGCTAGAACAAAATACGGACCCAGCGCTGGAGTGGACAACTTGCACCGCCCAAGATACTTTTCCCAGGGTCGCCGCCTGGTCAGGCCGCTGGCTCGCGGAATCTCATGTCGAACTCTCCTCTTAAGGCCTAGTAAATAGCTTTACACAGCCGCCCAGAACCGTCAATAATCCACTCATCTGCCCCCACGGCAAAATGCGCATACATGACATCATAGGGGTCATACTTGTGTTTGATCTCCAGCAGCCTCTCATAGTGTACCCCATACATGGTGTCTTTCCAGTCACCAGTGTACAGAGAATCAATCTCATTGAGATAGACACCAGTCTTTCCCGTGGCCCGCTCCATAGCAGGGAAAAACTCGCCTGAAAGCTGGTTTTTGTCCCGAATCGAGTGCGCAGGGTCATCCCTACAGGTGTTATTCAATGCTGACCGCATCATGCACTCACAGGGGTACTTACCAGTGCCATGGGTTGTTGGGATTGCAGTACGCGATGGACTCACGCCAGTATGGGTTGACCGAATTCTCGGGGTGGGCCGGACGCACAGTCGAGTTTTCGGCTGTGTCGATAAAGCTACAGCCTACAAACCAGCCAAACTCATCAGCAGTGTAGGTCCGGTAGACATCCATGAGATTCTTGTTTGCTGTTTCATTGAGCACAACGGCACGAGGTATCAGTCGGCTGCCGAGTACAGGATAGACGGGACAGAGCTCCCCGTATGGAAGCGCACCGTATGAGTTGCGCAGATTCTCCAGGTAGCTCGTGTAGTTGTAGGTCTTGAGTTCGTACGGAAGACCTCGACTCTCCAGCTCGGGGAGAAAAGGAGCGAGAATACCATCGATGGCTGAGGTGTCCTGATCTGGCATAACGAATGCGAAAACCCAGAGGGTCGAGTTGCTAACGAAGAACTGGACGTTCTTGGGCGAGTCTTTGACCATTCCGGGGCCCATCTTGTACCAAAGCCCAACAGCCTCCCAATAAGCATCTGAATTGGTATTGTTGAAACGCAGAGTTCCGCCAGCAACTGGGCCATCGGGATAGGCCCTGACTGTCACACTGAGCACCACGCCATAGGTTCCGGGTCCGCCACCGGCAAGGGCCCAGTAGAGATCGGCATGCTTTTCTGGGGTGGCTGTAACATAATCCCCTGCTGGCGTGACAACTTCCCATTCGAGGACCTGATCGGCGGCAAGTCCATAAGCAGACGTAAGCTGTGAGTGGCCGACGCCTTGGGTATAACCCCCAGCGAACCCGCACAGACCGCACTCCGGACCAACGACGCGATATCCCTTCGAATTGACGTATTCATAAACTTCTCCGGCGATAATACCAGCGCCCACCTTGACCGCAGGACCAGAGTAGTACGAGCTGTTGAAGGATTTGGTGGCCTCCAAAGTCTTCAGATTGTGCACCCACAAAGAAAGCGAGCCTTTTCCGGTTGACTTTCCCATGTAACTATAGAACAATAAGATCAATTCATTAGCCAAGGGTTTACTAAGAGGCGAGATCTGGACTTACTCAAGTCCAGTATTTTTGATGACAAGGCGAACATTGTTCTCACGAACAAATCCCAGTCCAGCTTGAACATCTGAAGCTGAGCTGACATTGATAGAATACACTGCCCTTTCGCCAAGCTCACAGGGCTGGTCGGCTGGGGTAAAAGGTGAACAAGTCAAGTTATAGAAGTACGGATTCATCGGCTCTCCAGGCTGGGGTTGGCTAGTTCCACATGTTAACATCTGCACCGAAAAGTTTGGAAGATCTTTACATACAGAGTCGCCGCACCCTCGTTCTGTATGGACTCCTGCAGGTCTGCGCACGCCGTTTCATCGTACCCGGAGAAGGTACCGCCAGTATGGCAGACGTGTGCAACTGGTACAGTTGCAATCAAACGTCCACCAACCGTTGAGTTGAGTTTATCCCACGCATCTTTATTCGGCCATGCTGCATCTCCTGGGATAGTTTTGCATCTCGGAGGAAGCTGGGGTTTGCTGTAAGCGCCTACGACTGGACCGATTCCTATCAGTAGGGCTAAGAAGCTAGAAACCATCATGGTGGAACAATTCAGGGCTTGTAAGCAAACGCCTTGGGTATTCGAATTCGAGATCGAATACTGGTGCACGCTGTCCGACGACTTGGAATCCCGTGAATCAACTGATCAGGCGTAACAAGTTGCTACAACATTTGATGCCTCGACCCATATATTATGAAACTTTTCAAGCTCGCGGATACACAACACAAATTTACCAGGCCTTGACTAGTGCCGCAAAAGATTCTAGCTTCGGGCAATTTCATCCTGCGCTATGAAGGATTCCAAAATTCGGTCTGTGCTTTCGGCTGCTATGTTATATGTGACGCCACTCGAAGGAGGCTCTATCATCAGGCCGTCAGCTAGACCTCATTTGCAGCGCTTCAGCACGTGTTGTGGGGAAACAGCTTCCAGTTTGCGGCTGAACGACGGAGTTCTCCGCTTTGGAACGAAATTATCTCCAAATGGAAGATCAGAAACGTACAGGATTCACGCTAGCGCCAAGATAGGAGTGAATGAGTAACACGAAAATCTACCGATTTGTCGGGGCAGATCAAGAGTCTATGGTGAGGAAAATCGCCGAACGCCGCGCGGCGAAAAAGTCGCCGAAGTCGCTGGCTCGCGGCGAATTGGAGCCTGGCAGGTAATTCGACCATTCATCATTGCTAATGAATCTGTAATTCTATGCCTAACTGTAAGTTAGCATTAGAAGCAGAAGAGAAATATAGTACGGGTATCTTGACCAGGTATCCAAGACCGCTCGTCCAATTACCGTGTCTGTGCGCGTGCCGAGCCACTTCGTGTGACGAGCCACCCAACACCAAAACACTGAATAACTCCCTGAATTCGACGCGTCATAACTTCACCAATATGGAGGCAATTGAGGACGTGATTACGGCTATTCAATCTTTAAAACTAGGAGAATCATTTTATATAGAAAAATTACTACCACCTATAGTGTTAATAGGACTATGTTATCCCGAAGACACAAGCGCGCTCAGGCCCCAAATAAAGCTAAGAAGATTAACCAGCAGAAACTCAACCCACAGCAAGAGCAGGAGCTTATACGATATATTACCAAACTCATAGAGAGATATCTACCCTCTAGTAGGGAGATGATTAAGAACTTCACCGCTACAATAGCAAAAGAGCCAGTCAGCGAGAGCTGGGTTACTCGCTTCATTACCCAACACAGTACCCATCTCATCTCGTAATAGACAACTGCTGAAGATAGCAATCGCCACAAAGCTAGTTTAGGTGATAAATATCGCCTCATTTTCGATCTCCTATAACGTGTGACACCACCGAACCGCCCGCACCACCGAAACGCCCACTTCTGCCAAGACCACCTCTCATTACACCTTCCATCTCAATGTCTCAACAACCTGATCTTGAATTGCTCCCTTGTGAGGGTAGGATAATCCTAGCTATCCAAGCAATGAAATCAAATGCGACTTCAAGCGATCGACGCGCTGCTGCTATCTATAGCGTTCCCCGAAGGACCCTACGTGACCAACGCGCCAAAACTACCTCACGACGCGATTCCCATTCCAACTCATCCCATCTTACTAGGGTTGAAGAGGAGATGATTATATAATACATAAAGAAGCTTAATACGCAAGGCTTTGCCCCTACGCTTAGCCATGTACGTGAAATGGCCAATCAACTACTAGCTACTCGAAGTGGTAGTCTGGTTGGAGAAATCTAGGCTTACAGGCTTACCTGCCAGAAGCCAGAGATTAAGTCTTAGGTGACTAGACAGCGCGATCACCAGAGAGTCCTGTGCAGCAACCCAGCTATTATCAGCCCCTAGTTCAACCTCGTACGCAACGTTAAAGCCAAGTATAGTATCCTAGACGAAGATACCTATAATTTTGATAAGAATGGCTTCTAGATGGGTATTAGAGGGTCTATTTAGGTAGTAACTACATCAGAGAGGCGTCTTAAACCATTACAGGTCCAGCCTAGTGACCGTGAGTGGGCAACGTTAATTACCACAATCAACATTATAGGGTAGGTTATCCTACCCTTCTTCGTCTTTAAAGCAAAGCATTACGACCAGGCCTAGTATCACAACCTAAAGGACTGGCATATTAGTGTCAGTAAGAATGGCTAGACAATAAATAAACTTAGCCTTAAATGGCTGAAACACTTCATCCAGTATATAATTGCCTAGACAGTAGGTAGCCACCAGCTACTAATTATTAATGGCTATGAGAGTCACAAGTCGCTTGCCTTCCAGGATCTATATAAGTAGAATAAGATTATTACCCTCTATATGCCTCCTCACACCTCCCACATCCTACAGCCACTTAATATGGGGTGTTTTGCCCCATTAAAATAGGCGTACAAGAAGGAAATTAATATCTTAGTAAACTATTATATCATTCACATCAACAAGAAAGCGTTCCTAGCTACTTTTAATTAGGTTTTTGATAAGGCGTTTTTATCTAGTAATATCCAATTAAGATTCTAAGCAACAGGCTTAGTTCTAAATAACCTAGAGGTGATGCTATTAAGGCTTAAAGTAAAGCCTTGTACGCCATCACGACCTACCCCCTAGCAACCCAAAAAACCTAGCAACGCTGCTAAAATTAGAGCTCAATTGACGTTGAGATTAATAGAATTAATCTATAAGATGGTGTAGCAGTTCCAAAAGGGAGCTGAAATAATGGTTCATACCTAAGTGCTTATGGCAGCTAAGATAGTCAAGCTTTAAGCAGCAAATAAAGCTGCTTCTGGGCATAAAGCACGTAAAAAGAAGTGGATCCAGCATGGAGGGACCCTGTCATAGTAAGGGGTAAGGGAGATAATTAAGCGTAGAGATGCTAAGGCACTAGTTAAGACAGAGAGGCGGGAGAAGAGTATACGAACAAGTGTTAGCAATAGGGGTATTCCCCATTATGGCAGGTATGGTGAGGTAGGGTATAATAAGCGCACATGCAAGGAAGTTACAGCTAGATTAGGTGATTAAATTAAGCTATTGTGCCCTACTATATCTTGTTGTAGTATTGAGTTATTTACATGTAAAGGTAGGTTGCTTGAAATAGTGGGCGTTTCGGTGGTGCGGGCGGTTCGGTGGTGTCACACGTTATGATAAGATCAATCAATATTAGATAGATCATCGTCATACCTATAATATGGATGAGAAAGGCTTCCTGATATGTATTATTAGCAGATCAAAAAGGATCTTCAGCAGAAGAATGCGGGAGAAGATGGAGGTTAAGGCATCACTCTAAGATAGAAATCGTACATAGATTATACTCATAAGCATGTATCTGCGCTAATGGATCAGCTTTGCCACCAAGCCTGATCTATGAGTCTGCCAACAGCACTATCCAATCAGCTTGGGTAGATGATATTAGGGCAGGAGAACATGATATCTTTATCAGCTCATCACCATCAGGCTGGACGAACAACGATATTGGCCTAGCCTGGCTTGAGCAGGTACTTGATCGCCGCACAAGGGAGAAGACTCGACGATCATATCGCCTACTGATCCTAGATGGCCATGGCTCCCATATTACTATGGACTTTATCAACTACTATAATCAGAATAGGATCCTCCTTGCTATCCTGCCTCCTCATTCAACTCATACGCTGCAGCCACTCGATGTGGCGATGTTCAAGCCTCTATCAACAGCCTACTCAGCAGAACTATCAGCATACCTTCATAGAAGCCAGGGCCTAGCTTCTATCACCAAAGGTGATTTCTTCCCCCTATTCTAGAATGCGTGGAATACCTCCTTTAAGGAATCAACAATCCTGAGTTACTTCAAATCAACAGGTATATTACCACCTGATCCTGGTCCTATCCTTGATAGATTCACCCAGGATCAGGAAGAATCAGGTGATAGCTTCTTACCAGGGTTCAGCGATCATGACTGGAGAAGGCTAGATAGGCTTGTACGCTCTGCAGCAAAGGATTAGAGTAGTAGGGATACACAGAAGCTTCGTCTAACGCTCCACCACCTATCTGTTCAAAATGAGCTACTCCACCACGATATCAATGGGCTTAGGCAGGCACTATCTATTAAGGAGAAGCTTAGAACGAAGGGCAAGGCTCTTGATCTCTAACAGCGTCAGGAGTATCATAGTGGAGCAGTCTTCTGGTCGCCAAGGATGGTAAGGGAGGCACGTTTTCGTCATTCTATTAAGAAGCAGGAAGATAAGGAGCAGCAGCTTTAAAAGGCAGAGGCAGCAGAGCTGAAGAATGCAGCTATGCTATAGAAGGAGAAAATCCGGCAGGAAAGGCGTGCTGCGCGAGATGCAGGTAGAGAGGCAAAGGAGAAGGAGAGAGCTAAAAAGGCAGCTCAGCGCGCTGCCCAGCAATCTACGCGTAACGCTGAAAAAGTCTATAATTATCCTAAAAGGGTAAGAGAAAGATCTCTCAGCTATCTCTATAGAGTAGAAAGCGCCATAAACGTGCAGGCGATACTCTAGCCATTAGGGAGGCCTCAGAAGGCGCACCTGCTGCTTAAACCAAAACAACACGCTACGGTCGCAACGTTAAGCTTCTAGATAGATATCAGTAGCGCAAATTTAATCGTAAGGTTCCATTTAGTACCTAGGCAGAAATTCTATAGCCTCATTTTTGTATGAGCTGTTATGGTGTTGGCTCGGCACGCGCACAGACACGGTAGCCTTGCACGTTAGTGATGACATTTGAAACAGCAGCAAGGCTGTTGTATCCGGTATCTCGACGTCTGTTCGTTATTCTTTGGGCGTGACTTCTAAGTCCTCCCGCTAGGCTTCTCGCTCTTATGCATTGACTGCTCATTGATAGATAACGTACTTCATATGCGAGCGCGCCATGGTATAAGCGAGCGCGCCACCTTGCCAAGAGAACTTAATCCATCTCTCTCTACCAACAATGCCCCAGCCATCTACTAATAACACAAGCTCCCACGAGAGTAGAATTCATCTAGCTCTCTCTATAATTAACTAGAACCAAATTCAGAGCAAGCGACAAGCAGCTGCAGCGTATAGAGTATCAAGACGGACTCTATAGTGACGATGCGTCGGAACTGCTGCGCGACACAATTACCATCCCAACTCAAAGAAGCTCACTAAGCAAGAAGAGGAGGTGCTTATTATATATATAGTTAATCTTAACCCGTAAGGATTTGCGCCTATATTAGCTACTATATATAATATGGCTAATTAATTACTCTTTAAGAGAGCTGCTGGCAGCGTTAGTAAACTCTAGCCTTACAACTTTGTCAAGCGTACGCCAGAGCTCAAGACGCGCCTTACCTAGCAGAGGGATTAGTAGAGAGCTCTCTATAAGGATCCAGACATAATTAAGCCCTAGTTTAAGCTTATACTGCGTACGCGAGAGAAGTACGGCATCCTAGAACAAGATATCTATAACTTTAATAAGACCGGCTTCACCATTAGCATAATCTTAAGCCAGATGGTGGTTACCGCATTAGAGAGATCAGATCAGCCGATTGGCGTACAGCCCAGTAATCGCGAGTGGGCAATAGTAATCCAAGGAATCAATACAATAGGCTGGCTAATTCCACCCTTTATCATCTTTACGGCCAAGTACCACCTCTCTAGCTAGTACGATGGCGCGGATATACCACTAGAATAGGCTATCTCTATAAGCTAGAACGGATGGACAACAAATGATCTAGGAGTAGCTTAGCTAGAGCATTTCAATCAGCATATAGAGACGCGTACGGTAGGGACACCTTAGCTACTCCTCCTTAACGGTCACGAGAGCCATAACTCGCTTACCTTCCAGGATCTCTACAAGAAGAGCAAGATTATCACTCTCTATATGCCTACTCATTCATCGCACCTACTCCAGCCACTCAATATGGGCTGTTTCTCGCCGTTGAAGCGGGCATATAGCGATTAAATTTCTGGCTTAGCACGCAACCATATCAACCATATCAATAAAACCACTTTCTTGCCAGCATTTAAAGTAGCATTTAAGCACTCTATTATAGAGAGTAATATTAAGGTAAGCTTCTAAGGCGCTAGCGTAGTCCCACACAACCCAGATATGGTGCTCTCAAAGCTTGACGTACGACTGCGTACGCCTACACTAGCTCTGCCAGAGGCCACTATATAGGAAGCCAAAACACTAAGCAACGCGCACAAGCTAGAGGCACAATCAACCTTAATTCGCAATCAAGTTCAATGGCATAAGAGCTCATTACCTGCATCTATAATTGCAGCACTTAATCAGCTTAAGAAGGGAGCTCAAGTAATAGCCCACTTAGCTACCTTACAAGAAAGCCGAATTGCCGACCTTAAGAGAGCCAATGAAGCAGCCACAAAGCGCAGACAGCGCAAAAGAAAGCGGATTCAGAAGTGAGGGACCTTAACTCAAGCAGATAGAGAGGAATTAATCGCTCAAAGACGCGTTAATGAGCAGCTAGGAGAGGAGATGCGTAAGAGCAATGCGCGCGCGCGCACAAGTGGGCAGAGCAAGAGGCGCTGCGGACGCTGCGGCAAGGCTGGCCATAACTCTCGTACGTGCCAGAAAGATGCGCAAGATGCAATATAATATAGGAGCTATCTATCTATTGTAGTACGTACGCGCGTTATGGAGTCTTCTAAGTTGCAAGTCGTCTGAAGTAGGTGGAGGTGGCGCGCTCGCTTATATGGCGCGCTCGCATATGAAGTACGTTATTGTACTTTTGATATTTTTATATTATTTCTTACTAAGGCCAGACTATAGTTCTTTATAAATATAATTTATAAATATAATAGCTAGGGTAAAGAGGAATATATATTATAATAATACAAAGCTTTTATTTACCACCTATACTTCTATATAGATATTTACTTTACCAAAGCCAATATAATACTAGTTCCCTCCAACCATGTGTGCTCTATACCACTTTACCGTTCCCTCCAACCATGTGTGCTCCATACCACTTTACCTCACAATACCCCAAACCACGCTTTATCCAGCAAGTACAGGAAATGCATTGACGACATCACCATCACCTTCCGCCTCGCCATCTGCATCCACATCACTATCTCGAACCACTTCACCATGTCTGGTCACATGACCATCTCCACCCGCTTTACCGTCTACACCAGTACCGCTCTCCGCACCCGTCTCCATCACTCCAGAGTTGGCGTTGGCGTTGGCGTTAGGATGGTCGTGCGGATCCTGAATGGGGGCGACCTCTGGCTGGTGTTGAACTCCATCATTGGAGGCGGCGTTGGAGGCGGCATTCGCGTCTAGAGAACCGGGTTCCTCTGGGGAGTCGGATTCATCCTCAGAGTCGGATTCATCATGGGAGTCGGATTCATACTGCGAGTCGGATTCATCCTCAGTGTCGGATTCATCCTCAGAGTCGGATTCATCTGGGGAATCAGAGGTCTCGTCAGCATCCTTAGCTACAGCCCGTCAGCGTCGCGCTTCGCAGCAAGGCGTCAAAAGACCTACTAGACATAGAGCCGAACCGGCGCACCGCTTCAGCCAAGTCTGACTTGTCAGTGTCGGCAATGTGCAGCATCTTTGCCGCGGGAAAGGAGATGAACTGCGTCAAGTCTAGCCCTTGCACCTCGGCAGTAGAGGCTGGCCCAAGGAGGGCGCTCGCGTGTACTATCGTGTACTGCGATCCCAAGACATGGGTCTTGTGTTGGGGCCAACGTCGAAGCTTGGGCAAATGCACCTTCGCTTCGGAGTACCGCCAAAACCACGCCGCAGCGACGTACTCCGAGGCAGCGTATCCTGGGGCCTTGTGTTTCCAGGCCTTCACAATGAGGAGGTAGTTATCCCATCGGTGCTCGCCGTGGCCTCGTGCACATTCGATCCTGGATATGTCGCCGACGCGAATACGGACGCGGCTGTTGGTCCTGTCGGTCCCAATCACCGATTGGCGTTCGTTTGCCTTGTTGATGGTGAACAGGGTGTCGCCAGGGAGGGAGATGGCGAGCGAGAGGTCCGTCGTGAGCTTGAGCGCAAAAGGCACTGAGCCGGTGAGCCTATGTTCCTGAGATGTCTGCGAGATGCCCGGGGTACATACCATCCGTGGCATGCTTCCACATCGCAGCTGGCACGTTGGCTGATGGCCTTGCCACGGCTGCGACTTCGACGCCCTTGGCGTTGCCACCCGTTGGCATCAGCTTGGCGGGGCGCGCTGTCGCCGAGGGCTGCCCTCTGTAGCCAAATTAGCTGGTGCCTTGTTCTGGATGCGTCTGTACTTGCTTCCTCTTGCGTGGGTTCGAAGCGCCAGAGCGTTCCTCTGGCGAGCGCTTCACCCCAGAATTATTCGTCAGCCGTTCCATCTTGGCGGCAATTCTAGCCGAGCGAGTGTATGTATTGAGGGAGCAAAAGGCGAGGGTTTCTGCGGGCGCTGGGGGCTATTGAGAAGAAAGTGTGGTTGTTGCGAGAATCGGAGGCAAGCGGTGCGGGGGTTGTTATAGACAAGTTTATCGCCGGGTTGACGCGTGCGCGACTAAGGCGGTGACCGGTCGTTTGTTTTTCTGTTCCAGCGTGGGAGCCCGCGGTACGGACGTGTCGCATCCGACGGGCCAGTGCAGCTGCGGGAGGTGAGAATGAGACATGTATGCGCTCGTGGTGAGCTGGCAGCGGATCGTCGCAGCGGATCCTAATGAAATCATTGCGGCAGCCTAAGTTGTTGCTGTGAGTGGAGCGCTCGCCGGGGAATGTGTACCGCTCTATGGCTGTGTGCGCATATCCAACGCAGCCGTACTGACGGGTAGATGCGCATGGACAACTCTTCTCGATTGCCGTGCATCGTCGCTGGGAGTGACTTCCCGTGGCCTGTCCATGAAGTCGCATCTGGAGCGCGCAAAGGTCGATGAGAACAGCGGTGGGTGATGCATAGGGAATGACATGTCGCACACAGGAGGTGAGAATATACGAGGGCTGGCGCGAGGCGTCTGGGTTCGGAAGTGGCGTCGCCTCCAATTCGGCAGCGGATATATGACATGTCGCACACAGGAGATAAGAACATACGG